TAATTAAATATAGTAAAATGTAAATTTTTCTCTTTATATAAAAGTTTTCAATTTTACTAATAAATATTTTTTATTTTACATATTTTAACATATATTTTTTTTAGATTTTTTAGATTTGATCTGATAAAGCTGTTCTAATTACATTAAATATTTTGCAAAATATTATTATAATTATTTTTTAAAAAATAGTTTTTTATAAAAAAATTTAAAAATTATAATAATTTAAGAAATAATATATTTTTACAAAATTTTTTATAAAATAATAATTTTTATTATTAATAATTATTTAATAGCAAAAAAACTAAAAATATTATTATAAAATTAACAACAAAATTATATATTATTAGAAAATAATTATTTTTAAGTAATATATTATACAAAAGAATTATATAATATAAAAACATCAAAAATTTTATAAAATAAAATCTGATAATTATTAATTTATAGTTATATAAATTTTAAAATTCTAATTTAGAATTATATTATTTTAATTAATTATTAATAAGAAAAAATTAATTGAATTTAATATTATTTTTAAAAATAACAACTATTAACAATTATTAAAAAATAAAATTTATATTATTTATAAAAAAGTTTTAAAAAAATTAGCTATATTTAATTCTAAAAAAATAGAATTTTAAATAATACTAAATTAAATTTACTTGTATTATTAGTAGTATATTATAACACTTTTTGATAGTAATTATTTGCTAATTCAATATATTAATTATACTTTTAAATATTTTTTAATAATTCTTTAAATATATATAATTATATATTAAAAGTTTTGTATAATTAAATAATTTTTTATAATTTTATAAATTTATTTTTAAAAATAAAATCTTAAAATTTTTTGGTAACTGGTATTTGTACTTGATATTTATTAGTAATTTATAATTAAAACACTTTTTATATTATATTATATAGTATAATTAAAATTTCAAGAAATAATATTTTCTAAAAAAATTTTTTTTAATTATTTTATTAATTAATATTAATTAAAATTAAATATAATAATATTTAAATATCTAATAGATTTTTGTGTATAAAAAATATTTAGTTTTATAATTTTTTGAATTTTTTATATATTTTTCAAATTATGCTAAATATAATATAAAGATCTAAATTCAATTCAATAATTTATAATAATTAATATTAAAAAAATAATTTTTTGAAATATTTATTGCAAAATATAATATTAAAAAAATATATAATATAATACTAAATCAATAACAAAATAATTTTAAAATATAAGAATATTTAATTTTCATATATTCAAAAAATATATATCTGATAATTTACTAAAATATATTATAAAATTTTTTAAGAATTTAATTATTTTTAAAAAATAGAAATAATTATAATAAAATAAAATTATTAATAATTATTATAAAATTAATTAACTTAATTTATATTATCAAAATATAAATAATAATAATTAAATTTTGAAATTCAATATAAGTTAAAAAGCTTATTAATAAATAATTAATAAAAATATTATTAATAAATAATTAATAAACAACAAGTTTATTAATATTATAGCAAAAAAATAGAATAATAATAGTATTTTCAGTATTTTATTAATTAAAATTTGTTAAAAATTCCACAAAATATTAGCAATTTTACTTAAAAATTATTATATTTAGTTCAAAAAATTATATAATAATAACAACAAATATTAAATAACAAAAAATATTAATAATAACTAAAAAATCTAACTAATATATATTAATACAGTCAAATTCTTATAGTCATCAAATTTTGCTTTTTCAAGAGTGATAACTATATAAAAATTTGACTATATTAAAGAAATCATTTAATATTAACTAAATATTGTTTAATATTTCGAATAATAATTAATAGTTCGAATAATAATTAATAGTAATATATATATATTAATTATTGGAAAAGATTATAATTAATTAATTGAACTGGAAAATATAAATCAAATAATACATAAAATCTAAAAAGAAAAATAGAATGATAAAATTCTTATAAATTAAAAACAACTAAATTTATAAAAGAAAACTAGAATTAAAGACCAAACTCACAAAATTCTTCTTACATAATATTTAGCAATTTCCAGTATTACATTAATTATTGACTAAAACTCACTTGATTACAATTTTACCAAAAAATTTTCAAAGCCAAAAATAAAAATATTGTTGTTACAATTGGAATTTCTACAATTTTTATAATTTCTAGAATCTATTATAATTTACATATATAATTTACATAATGTATAATTAAGAAAATTTGTTTTTATTAAGGAGTAATTGAAAATTTAAAAAAAACAAAATTACAGTATTAATTGTATATTATATAATAGAAGCCTCCTATATAGGATTTGAATTTGCCTCGATTTTATTCCTAGTTGGCTGGCAAGTGATTGTAATTTTTCTTCTTTGAATGTAAGATTCTTAATCAAATCTGGGATCACTTCAACCATAATATTTGCAATTTGGCATGTGAGATTCATTTCCATTTTGACGAATAGCATTATAATCAGCGAAACAACTATAATAAATGAAAAAAGTTACATGTATTATACAAAATTCTCAGAAATAAATAAAAATACTTACAGCCAACAAAATTCATATCCACATCTAGGTGCGCGACATGTCATATGGTCACATCCCTCAGACTTTTCAATATTAGTATTACATTTAGGACATTTTTTTGTTCTAGAATCAATATAAGCTTTTGATTTTTCTTCCCTTCGTCTATTTGTCGCTTTTTGCAGATCTTCTTGTCTCTTTTGCTCTCGTTGTTTTAGCGCTTGTTTTCGCGTTTGTCTAGTATAAGTTTCACGATTTCGTTTTTCTTTTGATCCATGAGACCTTTTAAAAAGATTTAATAATGATTTTTTCTTGGAATTTTTTTCACGGACATGAGATTCGTTCAAAGGGATGTCAGTTTCTTTAAGCAAATGACTATTATTTGAAGACAGTGGGCTGATGCGTTGTGGAGCTGTAGAAGCTTGCGTAATAACTTCCTCATTATCGAATGTTTCCGTTATGTTGGTGCATTGTGGACAGTTTAGTGAGCCATCTGGAATTGGAAGTGAATGCATAACACATGTTTTTTTTGAGCAGGATTGACACGTCATTATTGGTGCAGCATCTTTTAGAGGTGGATTGATAAAAATTGCAATGGAATTTTTCACTAATTAAGCTTTAGATTATAACCAACCAAAAAATCAAATTACTTTATTACATACCTCCTTCATAATGAATTTGACCAGAATCACAATTAGGATTTAAGCACCAATAAAATTCGTCCATTTGTGAAAGTGCGGACACAAGCGACAATTTCTGATACCTTTTCAAATTATATAATTATGTAAATTAATTTTGCAAATAAGTTTTCATCAAAAAAGCTCACCTTTCAAAGATCGTTTCACTGGACGATTTTTTGACATAATCTTCAGTCATCACACTTCTACAATTTTCATTTAGACATCTAATTTCAATGTTTCCTTTATCTTGCAACTCGTGTTCAATATGTCTCGCAACACACTCTTGACAAATATTGTTCTCATGCTGACAATTAATCGAAATTTGAATTAATTGTGTCATATCAAAAGTCTCTGTGCATATGATACATTCTTTCTTTCGTGGAGATGAAGCTGAAGTTGTACTTCGTGACGGAAGAGGGAGAATTGGACTTAGTGGATATGAAGCTAAAGCAGAGTTGATCCAAGATGAAACTGAATTTGGACTTTGTGAAGATGAAGTTAAAGTTGGATTTCGTGAAGGAAGAAAAGAAATTGAATTTTGTGGAGACGAAGCTAAAATAGAATTCTGCGAAGGTGAAGATGAACTTGAACTTTGAACACTTAAATATGGATTTGTAAAACTTCGTTGAGGTAGGACTATTGTTGTACTTCGTGGAGAAATTGGAGGAGGTGAGAGTAATGAAGGAGAAATTGGAGGAGATGAAAGTAGTGGAGGCGGGACTATTGTTGTGCTTCGTGAAGAAATTGGAAAGGTATGTTTTTTAGTCGATCTTGGTGAGGAGTATCTTGAATTAAATGTTAATTGCTTATGCTTTTGGTCTTGATTATTAAGAGCTTGATTTCTACTGGTTGTATCAAGCGAAAAAGATTGAGAATCAAATTTCTGCTTGTTATTATTGATAATAGGACTCAGTGGAAAATCTCTAAGAGAAAATGAATCGTTATCCTCTAGATTTTTATTAGTATTGTTATTAATATCAAAATTTGATTTTGTGTTCTCTTCTGTTGCATCATTGCTTTTCGCATTGTTACTATTAACAAATGGATAAAATAGATATTTATCATTCTCTTTCTTGCTATTGTCTGTTACAGTACTATTGTTATTGATAACTGGCGGTGATGGTGGTAGAACATTCCTACCAAGGTCGATTAGTGGAGGCGGAGGTGGTGGAAATAAAATGCGGGAATATTCATCTAAGTTCTCTTTCTTCTTGCCATTGTCTGTTACAGTACTACTGTTATTGATAACTGACGATGATGGTGGTGGAACATTACTACCAAGGTGAGATGGAGATAGTGAAGAGAAAATACGATCTAAGCTCTCATTTAAGTCCTCTTTCTCCTTGCCATTGTCTGTCACAGTATTATTGTTATTGATAACTGACGGTGATGGATTGCTACTAAGGTCGATTAGTGGAGGCTGAGGTGGTGAAAATAAACTGCGAGAACATTCATCTAAATTCTCAATAACTGAAGGTGGCAGTGGTGGTGACGGTGGTGGTTGTGGTAGAACATTACTGGCAAAGCTGATCGGTGGTGGAGTGTTATCTTTAGAGGCTGATTGAACTGGTGGCGGAAGTGTTGTTGCTAACTGGAGGTGGTGTAAATAAAATGCGAGAATATTCATCTATGTGCTCTTTCTTCTTGATATTGCCTGTTATTATTGATACGTGGAAATAAAATAACAAGTATCTTCATTATTTGCAGTTATAATAAATAAATTTCATGATAATCATTTTTCTACATACGTACGTATTTTAAATATATTACTAATTTTTTTTTAAAAAAACGTAGGTAAAAAAACGGAAAATGAAACCGTTTTATACATGTATATTTGTAGGTTCATGTGTAACGGTAATACGAAATACATGTATTCAGTGTGTAAAAATTCAGGTTTTGATCTGTATGCGTTATGGTTAGGGTGGTTAAGTATGAATTCAGAGGATAGCGATAGTTTATAATAAATTAAGCATTTTGGTATGTTTATTTTTTTTACCATACTATACCATACTACCCCTACTAATCGTATCGGTATAAAATCAGTGTTTTTTTGAGTTGTCATCGTTATATCGAGAGTTATCGTCGAGCTTTGACTGTACCTATAATATGTGAAAAGAAGATCATTTATTTATGCATGCATAACGTATCGATTTACGCACACAAATGTCGATATCGATATACATTAGCTATCGCTATGAAACAAACTAACACAGAAATCGGCTTCTACAGATTATTATTATGTGAGCTCTAAAGTTTCGAATACTCGTTTTGTCGTTGTCAAGTACGGAATTACGTACAATACTCATTGCAGTAAAAGTACCGATTTTAAAAAATGGGCATTTTGCTCAGACACTACCAGGACGCCCCCTAAAGTGCGGGTCATGTGATAATTTTTGATAATGTCAGAGATGATGACCAATTAATCGCAAGATCAACGTGTAAGACAAAAACAAAAGCAAAGACATATTTTTGAAAAATGCTGTATCTCAAAAATCTAGCTTGTGAAACTATCTTTTGTGTTCCTGCGAAAGTTTGCCAAATAACCTTGACCCAGATCCAGACCTAACTCTTTTCGATCGTTAACGTCATCAAAAAATTATCACGTGACACACACTAGGAGGTCACGACCGGACTATCCAAAAACCCTTCTGCAAGATGTTCAGCATTAGTAAGTCTTTCAAAATGGGTCCATTCAAAAGAACTTCGCTTTCAATTTTCGCGCACTCTTTTATTAGACTGTCGATATCGTTATTTCGTAATAAATTCGTTTGTGATATTTTTTAAGATGATGGTGCACCCCAAGATTCCAATCCTAAGTTAGAGTTTTTTATGCAAATACTGTATTACCGATAGAGAATAACTTTTAGAGAGAAAATTTCTATTAGTCACGATTATTAGTTCATGCAGATAGAAATCTCGACTTGGACAAAAATCTTTTTAGGGAGGTCTCGACTTAGAGAGATTGTGTAGTGTTAAGCCAATTATCCATACTAGTTTTTTTATGCAAAATAAATTAATTTATATACGTATGAGTCTTTAAACCATTAAGGTTGAATGATGCGCACAATTTGCAATGAACATTCCATTGAAAACTTGTCTAATTCTTGTATAAAATGAATGAGCAAACATAAAATATTGACGAGAGTTTAGAACTCAGCATTATCAGACATATTAAATATGAAGAAAGCAGTTTTTTAAATTGCAAAAGACTAAAATTGGCATATACAAGAAAAGGCGTTTGTTAGTGAGGTAAATGACTTCCAATAAAATATTATGCTTTAAATGATTTTATGTTTACAGAATTTTAAATGCTTCAGATTAAAAAAATGTGTTATTACCAATATGTGATCTGTTTTCTGGGGTATTAATCAAGGTATTCCTGATTGGATTATTTTGAAATATGAAATGACCTACAACTTCAGAATATATTATAATTCAAGAATATGCTGATGAAGATAACTTAGCTACAGCAATCTAAGACAAACGTTTCAAATCTTAACATGCAGACTTCAATGACATGTCAAGTAGCCAAAGAACTTCATAAAGAAGGAATTGCGTGCAATGATCTTGTAAGCTGAATTAATTATATATCGAAATGATTTGTCGCTAACTAAAATTTATTTTTTCAACAGCGATAGCATTCGAAGAATATTTTGGTGCAAAAAAGGGGTTGCCAAAGAAATGCTGAAAAGCAAGGAGTTATTTCTTTATCGGTATGAATTGATTAAAGAAGGGGCAAAACGAAAAGCACAAATTTTTCATAAATTTCTTACTAACCAAATTAAGTAACCGATTTTGGAAATTCATCTACTATGCACTACGTACTTCCTATTTTCGTGCACATTTTTGTTATATACAGTATATTTTTTTAAAGACTGTTGCTAATTTACTCTCCGTATGAAATCACCCAAAGTATAAAATAATTTATACTTTGGATGATTTCACCCTTATTAATTAATAAATAATCATTACATAATAATTTGTCACTTTCAATAGTGGCTTGGCGAGCTGATCTTTAGACATCGTGGAGCATAATGACCAGATTGCTTGCATTTATGACAATGTCTTCCTCTTTTTTTTACTGGAATTTTAAATTACTAAGCCGTCACCACTTGGATCTTGTTGGTAGTATTGGTAATACCTTGAATAATACGTGCTTTCTTTTTTTTTGGTGATATTTCACCTCCTAATTTGTAAACTACAATATTGATATATTCTTTATATGTGATGTGCTTGTCAAAGTAATAAGGTATCTCCTCTTGTCAATTAATTTTGATATATATGATTTTTGAAAGTTTTCTTGATGTCTACTAATTCGCGTGTGCTATTAGTATTGTTTTGTTACCTTGGTCATTAATAACATGTATAATAATATTTTAATTTGATCTTTTTTAATAAATCAACTATCGATGAATACTTGTTTTATTTTTTTTAATATTTACTTTGCTTGCTAACATTTTTAATCAGCTTAAGATTTTGGCTATCCATCGTGTTTATCTCATCAGAAAAAATCATATAATTATACAACCTGACCTGATCATTACTTTTCTTGTGAGTTAAATTTCTTGGCGAATACTTCTGCTTCATTGCTTTTACAGTGCCCATTTTTTTTAGAATGGAAATGTTTAAAAAGAGCAGCATAATGCAATATTCTACACTGATTACTTTTATATTGATTTTGCTTTCTTGCTTTACAATATAATTAGTATTGTCCTGCAATTTTTCTAAGCTAGTTGCTAGTTTCGAAATATTGAAGGGCAACATTAAATATAACTACATAAATATTCTGGCACACTCTTTAAAAAAGCCTATCACTTTTTTGCAACTTCTCTACAAGTCGTAGGAGAATTCCTCGAAAACATCATTAATAATATTATCAATGTAATATATGTTTCAGGCAAAATTTCTCTATAGATTAGTTGACAAACTTTACAACTAAAAATAAATCTTTATTATTATATAATAATTGATGCATTTCTAATATCATATTGTCGAGTTTTTTGAACTTGTTAAGGTTTTAGCCAAATATGGAGATAAACCCAGATATTTAATGTTGTATTTAACTCCATGAATATATGAAAATTCTTTAACCTTATGCGTTTCGAAGGTTTACATATGGATAATATAATTGCTGACTTGTACTAATCATACAAAAGATGACTTTGTTCTAAAGTTAAAATTATATTATTGTGATATCCAAAAGTCACTTCTCTCAATACGAAACAAATATGCAGGACTTGAAATCAAATATATAATAAATATTTGAAAAGTTCAGCTTATTGAAGAATTATAAAAAGGTTTGGATAATATCCGTTTCTGACTTTACACGGAATCAGATAATTCATAGTTTATAAAAGGCGGTAAATGAACACCTTTTAAAGTGTAAGAATATTGCTTTTTCGTTTTATTTTTCAGTACTAATAACCAAAAAATGGTACAATCTACATACCTTGGAAAGTTATTTGATTCGTATTGTTCGTATTATTGAAGGATTGAATAAGATCGTGACTTTCACCCTGGAAATATGATAGACTTGTTCAAATTGCTGATTTTGAACTAACAAGACCAGCAGATACAGAAAAATCTAATCGAGTAATTTACGGAGTACTTCCTTATATGATTTCAGAGGTACTAAATGGAAAGCCATACACTAAAGCTGCAGATATTTATAGTTTACATACGAGGTTGTCACCGATGAACAATCATTCGCTGGAAGGATTCATGATAAAGATCTCGTGTTAGACATATACATGTATTAAGAAGTTCGACCTAACGATACCAAATAATGCACCCAGATGGTAGCAAATTTATTATTGATATCCTATTTCAGAAAACAGTTCAATTGCTATAGAACTTTAGTGTCTTGGGTATCTTAAAATAAAAAAGCAGAAATTGGATAAACTTGATGAGGTGATGAAATAAGAACAACAAATCCACATGCAATTTACACCAATCGAATCTTTACTTTCAACTCCAACCGACACAGACACTTTCTATCCTAATATAAATCATATATAGTTTCACGTTAATTAAAAGTTATATCAAATGTTTAGGTTCTTCAAATGTCAGCTTGTATGCTCCAAGCGATTTCGATTCTAGTATACCACATAAATCAAAGATAATAGAGTGTTTTACAAGAAAAGCTATAGGTTCAAGATGAGACACTTTCAACAAAATAAAAAATAATGCTGCCTTTTGTTATAAGAAATGATAGTTACTTAGGAGTCTAGAACATTAGAAATCCTGACTTTAATCATGAAATCGATATTAACTGCATTTTGAGTTAGAGTTAGAGCACAACGACTAAAAACTGTTTCGGCTTCTTTGTGTTATGCATATATTTTTATTGTTTAAATTGTTTATCAAAATTTCTAGAATTTATTTCTTTAGAGTATAAAAGATCTTATATAACAAAAAAACGATAATAATATTCTTGATTCTAGCAAATAACGTTATATTCATTTGTAATTACACCTTTGAGTATTGTAAGCTGAACACTTTCTGCAGTAACTCGATTTATTAAAATCATGAGTACTCGAACTGTTAGATTTCATCTTTGAGTTCACTTTATATGACGCATGAAACTTAAAGATTGAAATAAAATTGATAGTTTTAAAAGATATCGGTAATGCGAATGTGATACAAAAAAGAGAAGGCCGTAAATTTGTAGTTACCGTATTTTTCGGCAATTAGTACCCGGGTCTCTTACATTCTAGGGGCTCAAAAATTGATTAGTACCCACCGGGTACTTTGTGAAGAGAGGGTATATTATACGGGGGATACTTAGCATGGAAGTCGTAATTTTGGCCCGGATTACACTAGTTTTGGCCTAATAATGAATTATGAAGGGGATACTTTATCAAGGGGATATTTTATCAAGGGGGTACTAATTGTCGAAAAATACGGTAAGTCAGTTCAGTGTACATGTGTTACAAATTAATAGCTCTTTTTAACGGTTCAAAATGACCCTATGGGGCACAAAACGTGACCTTGCGATCACTAATCAGATTTCTAGATCACGTTAATGCAATTTATAGTACCATATCCATGGCGAAAAAAGTGTCGGTCACGTGATTCAGATCACAATTATAATGCATAATATGAAGGAGTTTCGGTTAAGGTTAGGGTTAGGGTTAGGTTTAGGGTTAAGGTTATTATATAGCAAACGGGGGTGTAATATATATAAAATTTCGCAAGGAACACTTTTTGTTAGAATATAAATGATTGTAAATTTTCAAGATACATGCTACCGTAATTCGCAACTATGGGACCCCCTTTATACCTCTATTAATAAATTTCTTTTTTTTACTAATTAAATTAGTCCGTAGAATGAATTGTACTCGGGTACTCAAGATTACGAATTACGGTATTTTTCAAAAGTAAGCGTTTGTTTTCAATTTCTTGCGTTACACATTGATCTTGCGATTTGATTGGTGCATGATTTTAATATTGGATGGTCGGAATTGGGATTGGAATCACGTGATCGACTCTTTTTTCACCATGGATAGGGTACTACAATTTTATTGGTGACGACAAAGTCACATTTTTATAAATCAGAATATACATGTAATAATAAAAGGAAGTCGGTGGAGGAAAGGCAAGAAGAGATTTTTGAGGGGAGGTCGAAATTTTAGAAGAGGAACAGAGTGAGCTTGATGAAAATTGAGAGAGACGGAAAAAGAAGAAAAAAATCCGTACACGCTTACTTGCCATCGCACTTGTATGGAAAAAAAGAGGCAGAAAAGAAAACACAAGAGTAATTAATACTTTGTTTTGTTATTTTTGTTATGATTTGCACAGGAATATCGAAATTTACAACCTACCAACAATTAAAATTCTAATTATCATAATTCGCCCTCTTCTCCAACCAAACAACTACATACATTCCCAAACAACTTGTTTACGTGAAGTCTACTCGTGATTTATCCAAATTATGATATTATAGCTGCCATTTTCGGTAAATCACGTGATTACCGAAAAGTATCAAAAATTAAAAGTTCAAATTTTGAATTCAAATGGGACAAATCATGTGATTTCAGTTTTTTTCAGTGTCATGCATACAATGGTTTTAGTGTTTATGTGCAATATTTTTTAAATAATTTATATGCGTGGAAGTCACCACGGAAAGTAATGGCCATATAATTGATCTTCAAAGGCTGGCGTGAAAAATACATGGCATTTCTATGAATCTCTATCGTTAATGTTGGCTCATTCTGGTTTATTTTGCTATAAAGATAACTAAAAAAAAAATGTAATAATTGAACTTCAAACCGAGCTTAAGAAACTTTGAAAAAAAATGCCACGAAGATTATTTGATTATTAGATAACGAATCCCCAAGTATTGTGGCAAGTATTGATTTTTCTGTTTTGGATTTAATAATCAACCGTATTCCTTTCTGGCCGCCTTAGAATCAAGTCTTTTAAAAAAATCATCAAGCTTATTTTCCAATCTGTCAAGACTCTTTTCCAATCTGTTAAGTCGAGTTTGGTCTTGATTATTTTTTGCTATGTGAGCTTTAATAAGTTTTTGGATAGTTTCAACATCTCCGTCCAGATTTTTTTCTTTTCTTGTTAAATTTTCCCATTTTTCGGTTGAAATTGCGTAGTAAATGTTTCGTTGTTGCCAAATTGTGTCTATATAGCCGATCAATAGAGAAGCACGCATCTGAAGTAATGCTCGATGGTCCAATTTACTAATTGCCTCTCTAGATGGTTAAATGTACGCTGATTAACTTGTGTAAATTTCGTTAATAGCGATAGAAATAGACGTAATAAAAAAAACAAGTTATCCCATCAAACCAATCAATATATTCTGCATAAGAGTAACCAAAAATATACTGGCGAGCACAGTAACACCATCGACCGGCCAAAAACTCCAATTTGTAACCTGATCCCAGCGACCACTTACCCAAAAGTATACGGCCTCCACTGATTTATCCCAAAAATAATAGTAATTATCTGATCGATCAGACCAAGCCACGTTTTGTTGGATAGTGAAATTAGGATAAGTTACGTTGTTTTCGAGAACTTGTGCAGTTACATTGTCAGAATTCTCCGCTATGAAAGAGCCGCTTAATGTGGAGGTAGAAAATCATGTAAGCCCATTACTCCCATGCCAATTCTTCTTTCTCCTTTGGCTTGTACAGTGTTTTTTTTTCAAAAAGTAGTTATGAGGAAATGGCAAAGTCCCATATTATGAATATGTTTAATTGTGAAGATGGGGGATTTCAACTAAAAATTAGGTTAGAAAAAAAAACCCCCCCGGGTAGAATACCGATCCCTGGAGCGAATCGTAAAAGCAATAGCCTAAAGGCAAAAGTAAAAGATATTAAGACTTTTTACTTTTAACGTTGCAAATAGACGATAAAGATTATCGTGATACTTACATCGAAATTGCGAAGCCTACAATAACAAATATCTGAGAAAGGAGAAATCCAAAAATATTCGCAGTAACATTGATGATGATGAAAATGTATTTTCCAACCACTAATATGTATAATATTATCATTAGAATGTAATCTCAAAGATAAATCATAAATAGATAAAATTAGTACTTACATGGTAAACATCGCATTTTGAAAAACTAAAAAATAATTTATGTAAATAAACTTCAATTATTTGAAAAATAGCACCCAAATAGTTAGATTACTTACCAATACAACCCAAATAAATAAACTAGCTAATGAACAAAATATAAGTTGATTTTTACACCGAGAACCGTATCTTTGGCAATAAGGAGATTCTTTCCTGGTGTCAGATTCTGGTAGTAGGTCAGCATACTGCAAATGGACCGATAGAATTATCATACAACCAATTAGTTGTATAGTAAAACCAGCCAACTCGAGAGTATAAAAAATTTTTGCAAACAGTTGTTGATTAGCTAAATAGCGCCAGCTCTTTAATTGTTGAGTTAACAAAATATAAGAGATGCCACAAACTATAACAGTAAAAAACACAAATGGGAATTCAACGGGTTGACTATACACTATCATACTCAAATGTACATAGCTTAGGAAAATGAATGAAATTGCATATGCAAGATATACAAATAGTCTGCATAAACAAGTACGGCATAGTTACGCCATTGAAAGTCCACAACCGCTTCTATCGATGGGTTGTCGTAAATTTCTCCAGTCTTATCGTACATTATGAGTTTAGTGAATGGACTTTTATCGCCATGATTTCGTTCGAATAAGATTAGATTCAGAAAAAAGTCACAAGTTTTATCAACCACTGCATTCCAAATTCTTTCACTCGTAGATGTAAAGCCACTTTTTATTATTAATCCTGGAAGAGGAACTTGAAAATATTTCAGGTTTGTCTTTCGATATCTAAATATATGGTTCTTTTTGTCCTTGACTGATTTCATGTATTCTTGTTGACGAGAAGGATCAAAAAGGTTAAATTCGACATGGAAAGATTGAATTTCATCCAGATCATTATTTGGTCGATAAACCTCCCATGATTTATCAAGAGGAATTTCTTTTGAATGAAAAACTTCTTTTTTCATTAATTTTATGATGCTTTCTAATAAGAGAAAACATGTTTTTGTTAATAGTTATATACCATATAGAAAAAAATACATGTACTGTATACTTACTTGGAAATTTTATAATTAATTCTGGCGAAGCTTGAGTGACAGTTTCCATCCAATTCAAATTCTCTTTAGCTAAAGTAGAATAATAATCGAGAAGTTTCTCCACAGTTTCTTGATTTATTGCAATCGATAACGCATGAGGATGCTCATTATCATAATCAGCCCGATTTTGAAAAACAAAATTATATGAAGGTTCTTGTTTGTAATGAACAACTTGCCGAGGAATATGTAAGCGATCTTCAGGTTTATTTAAAATAATGAATAACTTGATCTTGAAAATCCGCTTTAATCATTGTTGTTACGATACGAAAACGAGCGTCTAATATTCTAAAATTATCTGGATTTTTGATTGCTTCTTCGATGATATTTGACGCTACTTTTTTTATTGAATGGAATAATCGTTCATATTTATCTGACGTTTCTGCCTCTGAATTCTTTTTATAATCTTCTTCCTTTTGTTTAATTATTAGTTTTAATGCACTGCACATTTCTACTATAGATGTAGCTTGTGGGTTAATTGGGATGTTATGTTTAAATCCAAGCTTGTTTTTGTCATAACGCGAATTTAATGTTAGTTTTACCGATTGATTTTGCTTGACATATTCAAAAGCGGATATAATTGGATCGGTAAGATATTTGGAAAAAGCTGTTGGAATTGACCAAATATTGACAAGAGAGTATCCTTTTTTTTTTATTTTGATCTTCTTTAAAGATCCTTATTATTTTATCTTTTATTATTATTTTGATTTTTTTGTCCTTTTCATCGTTGTCGATTTCATTGCCGTCAATTTCCTCTTCATTGCCATTGATTTCCTCTTCGTTGCCATCGATTTCCTCTTCATTTCTGTCGATTTCTCTTTTATTGCCGTCGATTATGATTTTGGTTTTTACTTTACCGATGACTTTATTGCTATTGATCTCGATCTTCTTTTCATTGCCATTGATTTCCTTTTCACGTTCAGTTATTGCTTTAACTTTCATTTTATTGTCGTTGATTATGATTTTCATGTTATCACAGTCGATTTCGATTTTCTTTTTGACTCTCATTTTATTGTCGTCGATTATTATGGTTTCCTTTCCATTGCCATCGATTTTCATTTTATTGTTGATTTCCTTTTCAATTATCATTTTGACTCTTATTTGTTTGCCATCAATTTTGATTTCCTTTTCATCTTTGCCGTCAATTATGACTTTCTTTTCATTGCCATCGATTATCGTTATTGGTTCATTTTTGCCATCGATTATCGTTATGGGTTCCTTTTTGCTATCGATTATGATTCTCATTCCGTTGCCATCGATTATGAGTTCATTTCCATTGCCGCCTTCAAGTTTATTGTTTTGTTGATCAACATCAGGGTTTTGATAAAAAAGTTTGATCAAACCATCCTTTTTATAGAAGATGCTATTCTTCTTTACGAAAAATTCGAGATCTTTTATTTGATGTTCATATTCTTTGTTTATTCTAACTTGTAATAATTTATATTTGACGGATGTTTCGTTAATTCCATGTGATGAAAATTCGCAATTCTTTTAAACTCTGCAGTTTCCTGATTCTCTTCAAATTTTAAAGTTCCTGGCATATTCCAAATCAAGATTTCTTTTTCAATGTCTTGGTCTTGTTCTTGGTCTTGATCTTGATCTTGGTCTTGATCTTGGTCTTGATCTTGGTCTTGGTCTTGATCTTTTTGTGTATCTTTGATCGATGGTTTCTCAAAGACGATTAAAAGCTTTGTATTATTCGAGATAAATGCCATAAACCTGATTTTTGCATCATCGTCAGGTAATCCATGTGTCACTAATTCGATAGAGTTTGGCATAAAATAACAGTAAAAGAATTGGAGCCAAGTGACGCTGCTAAAAATTGCTGTTTTTTTTCATTAGTAGACACTGCGAATACCGGCAAAATTACTGTATGTTCGATTTTGTCATCGTTTTGCTTTTCAGATTTTTGTTCGGTCTGACTGTTGGAATCTCCTTGAGGCTCTTTATCGGTTGTGTCATCGGGTTTCTTCTCTGGGGACTTCGCTAGAATTTTATTGATATTAAATAGCTTATCAAGCTCACCTGTAGTAAGATCATAGCGTTCAATGTTATTGTTTCGATTAATATAAATAATGGTCCTTTAAGAAATTGCTTAATTTATGTTCCACTACGTTTTCGGTGTATTCCCGTTTTATTGCAAACTTGTTCATTGGAAGTGGATAAGTATGATCAGTATTTACTCTCTTTTTTCTTCTAAATTTGCCAATATTAAAAAGAGCCACTGTTGACCAGAAAGAATTTGCAAATCCCGTACGAATTGTACTATTGTATTGCATTATTTGAAAGTTGTTTCGCCTTAAAATGACAAGTTCTTCGTTGTTTAAAAATTTGATAATGCCATTTCCGGCTCCTGTAAAATGGATTGGTCGAACACTCCTGCTCGGGTGATGATATGCAAGTAAAAATACACTTTTTTTAAACAATGTATAAAAATAATGAGAACCAGATTCGTGATTGAGCTTGTAGATCCCTAATTTTTCTCCGATTTAGGGTCGAGGATTGAAAACTTATAAAAAGAAAATGCGATCCAACAGATTTCTTCAGAAATATCAAAGACCGCAACCGACCAGTTAAAGTCTGCGATTGTTTCAAAAAAGCCGAGGTCATCATGGATTGAATTCGTGGTTGGGTTGTTACTTTCGGATGATTTTTTTCTATTCTGTGATATCCGATGTATATTTTTGATACTTTTGAATTTTTAGAATCTGGATCTTCTTTTAGTTCTTTGAAAAAAAAAACAATCGACGAGAAGCTAATAAATTAGAAATCTCTTACAAAAAAATATAAATAATTAAGCTACCTATCTCTTTTTTCAGAGTAATAACACTTTTTCCAACTTCACTTATTTCTGTTTTGATAATTGTACCACTTTTATCACTGTCGAAATCGCTTTCAGTTTTGTCACTGTTGGCTATAAAGTAGTAAGATAAAAAAAATATAAATAATATTCAATATATAGCAAAGCCAATACCCACGGGTACTATTCAATTTATAAACTACAATTTTTGAATAAGACCATGGATGTTATATACAGTGCTGAACGGTAGTCAATAATCATGAAGTAGTATTAACCAGCAGTTCTAAACGAAAATCCATGACTCAATGATCGATCACCAGGTTGTGGTGGGGCGGTAGATCAACTTGTTGAACTAAAATCATCATTTTTAGACATTTTTGCGCGGAATGGCGATGAAATGGAATTGATTTTTTTTAAGCAAAAAGAATAAAGTGTTGAAATGCTCTCTTCGCATATTTATGAAAAATCAACGACACATCTCGTGCTCCGTTTGTTTTTCTTAAGATAGCGATAGGAGATTGTAACGTTACTCGAAATGAATAAACGACGATCTATAAAAAAAGTAGAAATTTTCAATAGCGATAGGGTTTGCATTCTATACATGTACATGTATATCGATAAACTCTATTACTATAGAATCTGCACTGTAAATCTTTTTAATTCAAAACCTAGTTCCTGCGTTCTTCCTGTTTTTCTTCCCGCATATCGCTACTTATATATATTTTCAAAGAGACAGCGTTCTACGCATACAAAGTAGCGTATTACAAATTTGGCCTGTAAATTAGATCTCAAGTTCAACTGGTCGACCACAATGTTGTGCAATTCTTTAGAATTCGCATTCATCTCTTAGATCGGAAGAATTATCTTTTTTTTTTGTTATTGCCTTTAAATAGCATTATGCTTTGCTAGCTGAATAAATTTGCAAATCCTAACACTAAATACATGTACGTATATATGTTACACGTCGTTTCAGAATTCCAAAATGAGGGATACGATAAAGCGTTGTACCTTCAGGTAATCAATCCATCCAATGAGGATGCAAATTTTGTTGATCACAATAAGAATGCGCAAATTTTGATCAACCCGGCAAAACAAATCCGTAACAAGAAAATTAAAAAGACGAATAATGTGAAAAATACGGAAAACTTATGGGTAAACCTAGCTTGAAAGACTAATTAAAAATGTCGGGAAGACAATTTTACATATAACCTTTACTCCAGTCCTATCCTAATACTTATAAAGCATTGACCGGTGATTAAGCACGTGGGTACAACGCTTTATCATATCCCTGTATAAGGTAAGCGAGGATATTATGGCGAAGGGGATATTATGACGAAATAGCGATATCTCAATCCCCAGTGATGGGCATTGCACGAAATGCCACCATTTGATTCGCCGCAACGAGACGAATCGAATGGTGGTATTTTTTGTGCAATTACGATCACTGGGGATCGAGATATCGCCACCGAAAGTCACCGTATACAAGAAAATTAAAATTTCGGGTGACGATCTCGCGTTCGGTGAATTTTGGGGCGATATATCGATATCGATCCCTAGTGATCGGAATCCCACGAAAATCATAAAAAACATCTAGAAACTATTGTAAAACAATATTCTAAAGTTTAAAAGCTTTTCAAAAATTGTGAACATTCTCTGAAGAAAGCGTAGTCAAAATTTAATGTGTTAGTTTGGGGTAGAATGTGAGCTCGATGCCGTAAGGAATTGAGGTGGTATTGAAGCCAATAGAGGGTGGGTAATGTATTAGTTAATGGTAAAAAAAATTTTTATGTATATAAAACAGATAAAAAAATAGGGCGTTACTTTCCGAGGCGACTGTACATCCATATCGATCTCGGATCGTTTACCTGGTACATCATTTTAGAATTCCAAAATGACGTATGTTAATTTCGAAACGACGTACGTCAATCCAGAATTGACGTGAATTCCGAAATGACGTATAATAGTGTTACCGGGAGATAACAAATTTCGTCGATCTTGTGATTTCCGGAGAGGCTCGTTCATCTCGATTTCAACAATTCGCTTCGCTTTCGAGCCTCTCTGTGTAATGCCTAATTTAGATCCACTCCTGTTTTTTCTTTTCCATAATATTTTTCTCTCCCCGTTTTTCGCTTTCAAAATTTGCTTTTGTTGATCACCCATTTTCTTTTGCTTCCAAGTTTGCTTTTGCTTTTGCTTTTCGCTTTGCTTTTGTCAATCAACCATCTCTCACTCCCAAATTCGCCTTTTTTAATAATGATAATAATTTTTCTTTTACAATTTGCTTTTCATTTTTGAATTTTGCTTTTGTTTTCCATCCATAGTCATATTTAATTTTGTCTTCTTAACAACAATACAATTTCACTTTAAACAATAATATTAAACAGAACTAGAACACTGTCATAATATGTAACAAAAAAAATGTATAAAAGAATGGCCCACAGGATATTAATAAAAACAGAATTAATTGTGTACAATTCTTCTTCAAGTAACGTAACTCTTGTAAAATAAAATAATTGTGTACAATTCTTTCATCCACAGTATAGCTTTATTAAAAGATTGAAATAATTAACAGTTAGATTCTTTGATCCAAAAAAGACATTGTTATTAATTAAATGGCATGCTGATTGATAATAAAACACATTGTGTAGAATAGTTTAAGACTTTTGTCTAGAGAAAGCAATTTCTATTGTTAAATATTGTTAATAAAAGTAAACATCACTTAAAATTAAAGAAATTCAACTCTCCCAAATTCTCTTACATATTGTTACAATTATGTTATAAAATTGTTAATTCCATAATTTGTAATATATTACAAAATTATAAAAATCATGTAAAGAACTTAGAATATTTACAATTTCATTATATATTATTAATTATTATATTTATACACTTTTATTATACTTTTATACTTTTTATATTTTTATATATTTATACTTTTTATACTTTTATATGTTTATACTTTTATATTTTTTATACTATTATACTTCAAGATTTATACTTTTTTTTTATTTTCTACTTTCAATATTTAGTAAATTGGAATTCTATTTTTAGTTAGTATAATTATTTTTTATATCTTTTTCTTGTTTTTAATATTATATTTGTATTTCATGAAAAATGTATAAATATGAATTGTAGTTGAGCTCTAACTCAACATGTCAAAACTTGAGAATAATAACATAATAAAACAAATACTTTTTAATACTAAAATAATTCATCTTCCTCTCTCAATTATATATTTCAAATCTTGTAAACAAGTAACTTTAAGACTGTATTGAACTAATCAAAATGTTAATATTGAATTATTGAATTGATATTTTATTATAGACTATTCTTTTAATATTTTTGTTATAATTGAATTAATTGGAATTCCTCAACTAAAAATATCATAATCTCTTTCTTGTGAGAAAAACGAAATGAAAAAGTTTTTGTTACTTTTATTATTTTTGTTATTTTAGTTAATTAGTTAATCTATTTATTACTTTAATTAAATAATTTGTAAATTAATTAGTTAGTATAATTATTTGAAATGCTATATCTAATTGAAACTTATTATCTTATTTTTTTTCTCTTTTGAATTATGATAATTTCAGTAGAATTAGCATAAAACTTAGATATTATTCTTATAATTATCTAATTATCTAATACTTGTTCACATTTATCCAATTAGTGAAAAATGTATAATAATATATACAAATCCTTATAAATTCTCTCAATATTACCAAATCTAATGATATTTGTAGATATTAGCACAGGAATTAGATAACAAATGAGTACAAATCAGTCTATATACTCTCTTCCTCTCAACTGTTGTAGATAAAATCATTAATTACTTATAATTATGATATACTTGCAACAATAGTCATGTTATTTTAAAATTCTGAAATGATATATAATATATACAGTAGTGCTCATGAAATGGAACATGAAAAAAAATGGTGAGATTCAAATAGCTTGTTAATAAAGTGAAATTCTTCATTAAAATAAGATTTGGAAGATAATATACATGTATAAAAGTAAATTTCTTTTTAATGTTAAAGAACTGGTTAATTAGTTAAAGTTTTCTTATATGATATCGATACAGGTTTATAGAATATCAATATAATAACTAGATGAATATGGTACAGGAAAAGCTTAACGTTAACATGTTATATGGGGTAGAGTCAGTAGAAAAGGTACAAATCTATTAGAGTAATTTGTCCATTTTCCACTGACTCCACCCCATGTATTACCAGTATAACGATGATAAACTGTATTATCGTATCAGTATACATTTTATGTTAAATACAGATACTGATACTGTATATAAATATGTATACGTAGTTCTCTCTTTTGTTCTCTCAAAGAACATAGAACATTAAAAGCATTGTTTAAGAGAGAATGTAAGGTATAATTAAGGGTTTTGATTAAGAGAGAGATCGTGACAAAGAAAATGTAAGACAAATTAAAGGTAATGTTTAAGAGAGAGAACGTGACATAAATAAAAAGAAAATATGTTTAAGAGAGCGAATCGTGATAAAAAGATAGAATCGTGATAAAAACAAGAGAGAATTCTATATATTAGAGGATGCAAGATATAATTATTAACATTGTTTGGGAAAGAATCGTGTTAAAAAGAAAGAATATGCGAGATATAAATAAGGGTGTTTGTTTCTGAATTGTATTTTCTTTTCTTTAATCTTGATCGTAGTTATATACATGTAGAAAGGTAATATAAGAAAGGTCTACGGGCCTCAATAAAGATCAGAATTGTTGCGCACAATTTTTCTCCAAGTAAAATAAGACTTGTAAAATTCCCTCGTAATAAATTGATTGAATTGACTGGTTAGGACCTTTTTCCCGAAACGGCAATCGATCTTGGTAAAGACACGCGTATAAAGTAATAGAAAACCCAATCAAATTTAGAAATCAACAAAGGAAACATTGTAACATACACATATCTAAAATCCAACGTGAAATACGATATCCGTGGATATCGGCACGGCAACACTAATTATCGTTTAAGATTCTTGCTCTCCCAAAAACTGCCGTTTATAGAAAGATCCTTCCCTTTATATAAATCACGAGATTCACGTAACAATAGTATGCAGCAACATCCCACAAAGCCTTGCCATCAGATATTGCCAGATCGCCCATGCTGTTCGGTATTTTGGATGGATTTAGCGATATAATATTAACAGTGGATAACGTTAATCGCAAAAATATATGGTTGACCGATTAAGAATTTTAACCGGTTGGGATCACTATATAGGCGTTTTCGAGATCGGCGAGTACAGTCCAGGGCTCGATTTAGCGATATGGCGGTTTAACAAGAATGGTGGCACAAAGGAAAACTATGCGACAAACAATTAATTGGAGGTTAAACTAGAATTCCCCTTTGACTTGTTATTTTTTGCACGATTTATAAGGCTATTTTATATATAACGATAATTGTATTACCATGTGTTCGTATGCATAAAAGTAACTTTTTTCGCCAAGGTCTTGGCATTTAATTCTATTTCAATAGAAATCACGTATTCATGTTTATGCACGATTATCGTAGTGTCGGATGCATATAAGCAACAATTAAAAAGTTGGAAGTGGATTGCATCATAAATTACTAACGCTAGAGTTCTGGTCAGATTTATTATAATCTACAGATTCAATTGGAAATACTTGTACATGTATGTTGAAATTTTGCCTATGAAACTATCTTTTGTGCTGTAATAAAAAATTTTCTTGCAAAATTTTGCTATATGTCATAAATAACTATACTCTGATTTTAATTCTAACCCTAACCGAAACTTTAATTAATATTATAATAATTAATAGCATAATTAATGCATGCATTATTTTAAGGGATATATCAGATGGCCGGCATCTGGATTGGAATCATGTGACAGTAACTTTTTTTGCTATGGCAGGGTACTAGTGGCTGGCGCAACTAAGTTCAGTCATTTTTATTGGACTATTGGTCCACTGGACTTGTAAAATTTTTAAAAGTTCAGTAGTCTACTGTGTAATATTTTGTATGTTCAGTGAGTCCAGTTGGTCTAGTTACCCTAAATTGGATAGAATGCATTCAATTTCTTATGAATGAGCAATTTTACATAATTTTTAATAAGGATATCGACAAATAAAATCTTTGAAATAAAACATTTTTATGTCGCTAATTGAGCTCTGACTGTTTTTCTTTTTTTCTAATATATATTTTTTTACTTATTTAGATAAAAGCGAACGTCATAAATAAAAGACCCTTTTTCGTGTGAATTCTTATCGTTATGCACAACATCAAATACATGACAGATTTTATTTTCTTATCAAAATAATTATTATCCTTATATCCTCTCCCCTGAAAAATGTAAAATTCTCAATTCTTACATGCCAGCATGATGTAAAATGTTTCTGTAATGTGTAATGTATACGTAATTTATAATGTATACGTAATTTATAATGTATAATATTTTGTGAATAGTCATTTGATTTACTCGAACATTAGTCTTGAACCCGTATTTCATATAGATAAATTTGTTATTTGCAAAGAAGTAGGGTTCTCAAAAAGTCTGGTTGGTTCAAAGTTTGAACTGAACTCGAACCAGACTTAGGTCAGGTTCGAGTTCGGTTCAAACTTTGAACCTTTCTTGAACTCAAGCCAAAGTTCGATTCGAACTTCGAAACCAGACTCGAACTCAGGCAAAATCCTGGTTCAGTTCGGTTCATAGGAATACTAAGAGGCGAATAATAACAAGATATTGTACTCATGAATGGTTTCTCAACAACAGCAGACTCACTACTTCGAAAAAAGGGAAGAGACTATACTTATGGCTGGTTCTCAATACTTCGAAAAAAGAAACCATACAAAAAAGAGAAAAATTACTAATTTCCAACAAAGTCATCGGTAGAAAACATGAAAGGATCTGACGTGGAAAACATATTTCCTTGGCTTGAAAGACATGTCATTAATGAAATCCCTTTAATATTTTGCTCATAGTGTGAGAAATACAATTGAACTGCAAGTAATATATTCATTACCGATTGTAACATTTCTGAAAGAAATCATAAAAAATACTATCAATAATCTACAGTAGATCATCGTATCCGACCAAATTTAGATTTTTATTTTGAGCCAGCTATTTTGGAATAAACCAACGGGTTTCACCAGTTAACTGAGAGGTTAACTGGTTCTTAAATTTTTTGAACAACGGTTCACCGGATCGACTCGGGTCAGATCACTACTGTGACCCAGGTCACGGTTAAAATAGATAAGAAAAATCTGGGACGCGCCATCCACTTTTATCACGTGACTTAAACTTTACTGTTTTAAAGAATTATTTTATTACATCAGGAAAAAAAAGTAATGATGGAGAGTTGCAAGGAAGGAATATGTCAGATCCTAAGCCTTCCCGAAGGGCAATGACAGTCCTTATACTTTGGCCCACTATCACTTTATTAGCGTTAGAAGACAAAAAGCTACTTGTTCAAAATGGTTATATATTTTAAACCCAACCAATAATGTTGGTTGGTTGCATTGTAATTGTTTCAAATCGCCTTTGCTAGGTTGATAATTTTTCTAAAGGGATCAATAAAATTTCTTTGCATTCTTATATTAGATAGTCAATGTCATTATTTTCGCTAAACTATTTAGCTTCATAAATTCGTTAGCATTATTATTACTTAACAAATTTTCCAGAAGAATATCCAAACAGAATGACACTACACAACATCTAAAATTCACTGTGATTTATAAAAATAACGGCATTTTTGGAGGGGGTTGTTTGGGGGTGTATGTTTTTTGCCATGTAAATGTTGTGATATCGAGCACTAACAAATTGTTTGGATAACCAGGATTCAAATCATCCTCGTGCCTCCCTATAAAATGTACAGAATTAGAATAATTATCATAAAAAATACGCATATCGATCTTCTTTCTCACCAAAAGCTACTATTAAATTTGCTCCAGCCAGGACCATCGTATGAGCATGTCGAACACCAGGAACATTTCCTTTGGTTGTTATCTTACTCCAAGTGGATTTTGCCGGATCCAACACGTAAAGATCGTTAAAAGAAGTATTAAAATCATTAAATCTCACTGTTCCTCCGTAAATTATAATTTTATTATCCCATGCTATAATAAATACGCTTATTGTCATTTATATGAGATTGAGGTAAGAGTTTTAAAAAAAGAATCCAATGTACTCACTGCCAACTGCAGCATGAAGTTTACGTTTTGGAGGAATATCGCCAGTCACTTGCTAAAATAACACAATTTTCTTTTGATTAGAACATATATTTCAGTCAGTATGCTTTTTACATGTCAATTACCAATTGAGTCCATTTGCTTGTCTTTAAGTTAAATACGGGAATCTGATCCATGCTAGCCAAGAGATTGCTATTGAAATCTAGAAGTCCACCTATTATATACAATTTGCCATCTATGAGTGTCGAAGTATGAAGCGACCTATAATCCGGGCCGAATGGTAAATTAGACGTCGTAGACCAAGTATCATTTTTCGTATCTAATATAAAAAAGGTATTGGTCAATATAGATGGAGTCGAACCCGCACTCGTATAGTTGTTTCTTGTGAATCCACTATAATACAATATCGTAGAACCATCGAGGTTGACGCCTGTAAGTTGGTGTCGCCGAGCTATCTGGCTTGGATCAGCAAAAATAGGAGTTGACCATTGTTGTGATTTGGTATCGAATACGGCATATGGACTTGTAGCTGTATGATTGTCACCACCGTAAATTACTAGCAGATCGTTGTCTACTCCACCAACATTTGCTGTGTGGAATACAATTTTTGGAGCATTTTTCGAAGATCCGCGAATCCATGGTGGTGAAGATACATCAAAAGTTTGACTCAAATCTAGATACAAAAGTTCATTTATGTCTGCGGTTGGCTCAAGATCAATTGGGACTGTTGTTCGTCGTCCAGCAAACACATATAATCTAAATTATAATAAGCAAGCAACAAAATATTCGAATTAAAGTTTATCTTTTAATTTACTAATTCACTAAATAAATACTTGCATATTATTAATTATTGTTCCAGCTTGGAAGCTATAAAATTTCTGGTTAATTTTAAATTAATCCAAATAGCATTTACTTAGCTCGTTACTCACCGTCTCGAAGTAGGAACATCTCCAGAATCTCCTTTAACAAAGGAGAATACTAGGTTTAAATAAATGCATAACATCACAAAGAATGACTTCATTTTAATATTTCAAATTTCAAGACAAGGATGTGTATATATGTTAGTTTTGCGAAAAGATGAGAACAAGATTCTAATCGATCTATGCTTCTTGTCACCGAAAATTTAGTAAAGATGTAAACTCCTTATATATAACCAGGCACTGAGGTTGGCATTTCATCATTCTAGAGGTTTCGCCTCCGCAAAAGTTTCTAAATTTGAAAGGTATATAATATCCGGGATTACGTACATTTCAAATGCTAAAATCGGCTTATTTTGAGTGTATACGTAAATTTCTTTTTCGAATTTTCTTATACAGTTATTATTCTTGTAAATGCGTAACGCGACAATACGTACATGTATAAAGATACGCAATGATAACCATACTAATCAATTTAGTCTCATTCAACGGTTAACGTTAAAATGAGAATATCTCCTTTCGTTAGATCCATTCCTAACCTAAAAAGTAAAAAAGCTAATATATAAATTGTATGTACGTGCGTAGTTAGGTTAATACGTATTTCATGTGATCTGTAAAACGGTGAACTGGATCCGGGTGTTGACCAATCAAATCGCAAGATCAATGTGTAGTGCAAGCGAATCCACCAGGCGATCCCCAAAAGTTCGGGCCACGTGATAATGACCAATTAAATTTCAAGATCAACGTGTAACACAAAAATTCAAAATAAACATATTTTGGAAAAAAGCTTGTACATGTATCTCAAAATCTAGTCTATGAAACTATCTTTTGTGTTCTAATAAAAAATGTTCCTTGCGAAATTTACTAAACATACATTTCTTGTTTGACAAATAATCTTGACCCAGATCCAAACCCTAATCCTTTTCGCATCGTTGACGTCATCAAAAAATTATCACGTGGCCCGAACTTTTGGGGGTCGCCCTGGTGGATTCAGCGCAAGCGCATATTTTTGAAAAATACATGTAGCTTGTATCTCGGAATTTCGCCGGAAATTTGGGGATTCTTCTCTACGAGATTATTCGATCGTGACTCACACAAGAAATATCAACCTTTTTAGAATTTTTATCTTCGTCAATATCATTCCAAACAAAATAAAAAAGTACTCATTTTGAATCATAAGGCCTCTAGTATTTTTTTAAAATATTTTGACAACAGATTATTTAAGTCAATTTTGTAAAACTGGGTAATTCAAATCAAAATTTTCACATTAAGAACTTTTTTTCATGACGGATCCAAATTGGACCACTGATTAAAAATTTTATACTTACAAAATCCGCATGTGCAATTTTCACCAAAACTGGCTCAAAATTTATCGATATTTAAGATCCCACAGGTTCGAATCTCGATAAATTTTGATCCAATTTTTGTGAAAATTGGTACATAGGCGGATTTTGTAGAGTATAACATTTTTAATTAGTGGTCCAAATTTGGATCCGTCATAGAAAAAGTTCTTCAATGTGAGAAATTTACTAGTTGAAAATTTTGATTTGAATTATCCAGTTTTACAAAATTGACTAAAATAATCTGTTGTCAAGATATTTTTAAAAAATACTAAGTACTTTTTTTATTTTTTTTGGAATGATATTGACGAAGATAAAAATTCTAGAAAGTTTGATATTTCTTGTGTGAGTCACTGTATATGTTGCAAGTTGGAATATTGGTGGATTCAGAATCCACTTAGTGTGAATTTAGAATTTTTTGGTCAGCACCAATTTTATCACCAACACTATCCCTTACTCTTATACTCTAACTATAGTCATACCCTTATCCTAATTTGGACCGATCCCGTATTCACATAGATCCCGTTCTCACTTACAACGCCAAATCGTTGTTTCGTATTTCCTCGTCTAGTTACTGTCTTTGATGCAATTGCATACCTATTGCCAAGAATCACAATTATGGTTAACGTCAATAAAATAACGAAAACAGAATACGAATTTACGTAATCTATTTTTGGTACATACATGTATATTGTGTTGTCGTTATATTTTCATTGGCTAAAACAACCTTTTTAATATCGATAAGACAAACACCTTGAATGTGTCGGAGAAATACAACTTGTTGCCGAAATACTCGATCGTGGAGATGAAATATAAATATGAGCGACGAAATTACGAATCAGACTATTTCTGTTGCGTCGTTTCCACTTATACTGCATTGTAATCCCTGCAGAAGATTGGAAAAAACGCTTACCACAAAGCAGTCGGTTGTAATTGAAAGATGGCCAGGTGAGAATGAGGCTGGTCTGAATATTGCAAAGCCGGATGAAAGGTGACAAGTGCTGACAGCATTGGTCAAAATTCGTCAATTTTTATTGCAAAAGATAACAAAGTAGTTATAATAATCGGTCGGGTTAAACATTTCTATATGTCATTTGCGCCAAAAATAAATTTCATATAAAGTATGGGGTTGTTGGGTCTTACGTGTTAATCTAACGGAAATCATGATATTATTAATAATCTAATCTTTGTGATTTAAAGGAATAAAAAACACAGACAGTAGTAGTTCCTGAGAAATGTTTATTTATAAACTTAATATTAACTTTTGTTGATCAAACTGAAAAAGCTTTTTTTATAGTAAAAAATACTAAAATAATTGTAATTTTTATTTTTAACAGCTTATTTTTCAATTGTATATAATAGATATAGAATTTTTTATATATGATCATTAACATCTAAATTCATTTATATTTTATAAAATATACGTATAAGCTTCTTTACTAAGAAGTAAATACAAAATTCAATTCGTGAATAGCCCTTTCTGAGCATATTTATGGATTATATTTTGTATTTACTTAGTAAAGAAGTTTATACATTTTATAAAATACAAATGTTTGATGACTTTAGATATTTTAACATATTACATGTATAAATAAATATTGAAAATATTAAAATTAATCAAAAAAATATAATGTATAAAAAAAATCAAGAACTACTATACATATTTTTGTGTTTTTTGATTCTTTTAAATTACAAAGAGCTCAGGAACTTAAAAAGTTATTAGCACATATATAATAGTAGTTTATTTATAACAGTAGTTTATTTATAACAGTAGTTTATTTATACTCATCACTCAGCAAAACAAAGTTACTAGAAACTTTCTTTTGTGAGACGATCATGCGAAAAATTAATGAAAAACTTGCATTAATGTTCTAAATATATAAATTTGAATGTAATAATTTCAAGTTTTTATACGTATGGTACATAAAATCTAAAGTCATCAAATGTTTGTATTTAAACTTCTTTAAGAAGTAAATACAAAATTTAATCCGTGAATATACTCAGAAAGGACCTATTCTATCATATTCACGGATTAAATTTTGAATTTACTTCTTAGTAAAGAAGTTTATACAGTTTATAAAATACAAACGTTTGATGACTTTAGATTTTATGCACAATAGTCACTTTTTAAAAATATGACAAAATGTATAATTTAAATACTTTATTACAGTTCGCACGGAAAGTAATGGCAGGCGAATTTTTTATTAAACTAAAAAAAATTAATTAATGACCACAAATAAAATTATATATTTGAAATACGCTTGAACAGGACAACGAACCCATATATTACATCAATAATCAATGTGACCTCCTTTCGCATCAAAACAAGCTTGAACGCGATTTTTCATACTGCTAATATTGTCAAGAACACTATTAGGAAGATTCCTCCATTCCTTTTGATACACTTTTTTTTGTGCTACAATTTTTCTTACATTCCGCTTTAAGATTGCCCATACGTTCTCGATTGGATTAAGATCTGGACTGTACGACGGCCAAGGAAGAACACGATTCGGCAGGTGGGTTTCAAGATCATTACGGACTTCTTTAGTTCTATACTTTGGGTCGTTATCTTGCTGGAAAATGTACACATTCCAACTTTCCCATGTACAAATCGCACCACACATATGAAGCTTTAACGGGTGTTTTACCATTAGTGCAACCATTTTTTCGTAACGAGACCACCCCAAGCAGGTATTTCGAGATAATCGTAGAGTGGTTTCATCAGAGAACACAACTTTTTTACAGTTATAATTAAGATGTTTTTCTGCCCATTGAAATCAGTTTTCTTTAGCTTTGTCGGTGAGAAGAGGAATGCGTCTGGGCAAACTACAAATATAACCAAGTCTGTGAAGTTCGTCACGGATTGTCTGGACACATACCTCGAATTCTGGATGCGTTTCTTCAAGTCATGGCTTGATTTCAGCTCCTGTAAGAAAGGGATTACCATTTACCATTTTTCCAATTTGGCGGCGCATTACAGGTAAAATTTTCCGTGGACGATCAAGACGATGAATAACTAGAATTCGTCCATTTTTGCGAAGTAGGGCAACATAACGTTCACATGAGCGAAGCGGGACACCAGTTTTTCGTGAAATTTCAGTAGCGTTGCGGCAACCATTTTGCCATAATTTCTTAATACTCTCACGATTGGATTTTATCGATTTATCTGGCATTTGAGAAGATATTAATTTGGTAAACAAAACAAGTGAGGTACAACATGTGAAATATGTTATACATGTACTTGTGATCGCGTTCTGTCTAACGAAAAATTCGCTAGACAATGTACTTTCCGTGTGAACTGTATTACGTACTATAATTTACTTAAAATATGGTTTTTCATTAATTTTTATATTACACGTATTAATGAAAATACATGTACTTTTTTATGTAACATATATTAAATATCTACGTACTTAAAATATTAATACAAGATTTCTTCCAGAACGTGTATACATTTAAAGCTCACTGATAATGATTGTTACTAATTAATTTTATTCTAGCAATACCTTTTATTCTTACTCTAATTTGTTATATTTATTTATCATTTATAATATAAATATATAAAACAAATAACTTTTTCTTTTAAAAATATATGGTGCCGGAAACCTATAATCGCCAATCACGTGATAATAATAAGATATCTGAAGATAATTTCGAAAAAATAAACCAATAACTTTGTAATTCGAAATCACTCCATAAAGTTATCGGTTTAGTTTTTTATGTAAATAGTTTCCGTCGATTTTATTTCTTGATATTATTATTATTTTGATTTTCCTTTGTCCAGGCCGTATCAATAAGTCCTGTTGAATTGTTTTGTTAAATAGGCCGTACCAATAAGTCCTATTTTTGGATTATTCCCTTTTTTATTATATTATTATATTATTATTTTCCCCCCTTAGTGGTTTAAGGATATCACGTGATTGGCGATTAGATTTCCGGCACAATATACGTAATTCTTTAACGCTGCTGTTCAAGTGTGGTAGAATCCGTTTCTTAAGAGGTAGATGCTACAATATTTATTTCTCAAATAAACAATCTTTTTCTCGTTGCATGTTATTTAAGACAATTCGCTAAAATATCAAATTTTAGCGCATTCACTAAATCTACGTATAAACGATTATTATTAAATACATAAAAAACACGATTGTTTAAATTGTAAGAAAAGCTAATTAGTTTTTGGCCGAATTAAAACCTTCAATTCATTACATTGATTAAGCGCCACAAGAGAATACTTTAACGGGGACTTAGGATTCGCCAATTGGACATCATATTTACCAAACAACAACACTATCAAAACCTTCAATTCTGCCATAGCGACATGTCTACCAGGACATAAACGAAGACCACCACCAAACGGATTATACGCATTCTTCTCGAGATTCTTTGCCTCGAATTCGCTACCTTTTACAAATCGCTCCGGGATAAATTTCTCGGGGTCTTTCCAGTATTGTGTGCTTCGATGTATTCCTTGTTGATTTGCGCAAAACATTGTCCCAGGCTTGAATTTTAAGCCGCCGATTACATCTTCACGACTTAATTCTTTGAATAGGAGAGGTGCGACTGGTATGAGGCGTGCTACTTCTTTTATTATTGCTTCGGTGTAAATTAGTTTGTCGAGGGATTCGTAGGTTATTGCGTTTTGCATTGCTTGTGGATCTCTACCAAATATTTGATAGATTTCTTGTAAAAGACGGGATTTTACATCTGGATGTTGACAAATATAGTAAGTTATGAAGCAAAACGAATTCGAAGTCTAAATGATAAGTATATTTAAATAATGTTAATGTTGAGATGAAGTGGTTATAAATATATAATTAAAAGAAAAACGAAATACCGTGTCAATGCCAGCAATAAAAACATCCAACATTATTTGTCTAATTTCATTATTCGTAAGCGGTTTCAAAGCTTCATCATTAGAAGAGGAATTTGTATCTCGAGAAGTATTAGCAATCAATAACGATGTCAGAATGTCATTTTGTAAAGGCGTTTCAGACGAACTCTCAATATCTTTTCTCCTCTCTTCAATAATTGTTAATACTTTCTCATCCAATTGTTCATTCTTTGCCAAAAGTTTTTGCGTGAATTGTCTGAATCCCGGGATGTAATGGCGAATTAAATTCGAGAAAAAAAGAAAATACATAACCATCGTCAACCAATTCGTTATCAAAGCCAAGAATTCTTCAGGTTCTATTGTCATCAAACCGGGAACTTTTATTTTGGTTGGTGCGAGTGTGTTATAGTATGATAGGACAGAGTAGAATGGTTTTCCAGTTGTCGATTTTAACATGGTGTCGGTGGTGAAACGATACATCCATTGCGCAAGGTCTATTTGAAAGTCGGTGCCAAGATTTGACCAGTAGTTTCCCATCTCGTTAAATAGTGATTGTGTTTCTTGCACAAAATCTTTTAAAAAGTTTGGTGACATTATTGAATGCGTGAGGAATTTACGATTGAACTGCCAAGATTTCATGTTCCCATTACAAATGATTCCTTGTGTTGTAAGACCCAATTCAACCAATCCTTCATTTTCTGAACCCTAAATATTCAAAATGCAATTTCATGAATATTCAAGCGAGACGCGCCCAAATTACAAATTACAAAATACAAAAATTCATAATATGTTAGACCTTTTGGAAAAAATTAGCTTTAGTTGACGAACTCATCATCTTTTCAATCAAATCAGCACGACTGAGGTAAATATTTCTTTCGGAAGCCATATAAACTTCCCACATATCTCCATATTTCTTTTGCATCTTTTGTGCATATATTGCGGGTTCGTTTCCCATCTGAAGAAGATTACCGAATAATGGAATTGGTATTGGACCAGGTAAGGGACTTTCTCGTGTAAAGTATTGGAAATAGAATTTGGCGACGTAACTGATTATAAAGAGGATGGTTAATGATAGTAACCAGTTGTTGCTGTAAAAATTGATGTTTATGTCTTCGAGAATTGACATCTGTTTTTTTTTCAATGTTGTATAAATGAAAACAATGATATGTTTTTGTTTACTCTTTTCGATCTAATTAATTTTCTCAAAAAAAAGCGATGGATTTCTTGCCAAGGGATTTATAGAAAAATTCGCATTTTTTTCCATATACTGCGTATTTTGACCAAACACATATGCATGTAGGGTTGTGATTAATGAAAATTATGCTATAATATCTATAATACCAAATACGTATTATAGCAGTATTAGACGTAATTTGAGTTTATTATCCATGATCACAATCATCCACCTCTGTCCTAACTAACTGAAATTCAAACAATATTAAAAAAAATTTGGCGATGTGATTATACTACTATGACGATAATATCATTATGCATTGTATCGTAAAATCATTGTTCCATTGTACGTGTACTTAATCGATTGCAGTGTTCGTAAACCAGTTATTTAGTTGAGACAATACAATCAACCAGTGTTACTGTCATTATTTGAACTAACCAGTTAAGGTCAATTCCGGTTATTTGTCGAGATGTGAAATTATTTCACACCCCTAATGTTAAATGGATCATCTTTGCATAATTAGATATAAATAGATTAATTCAAAAAGACAATGACATCTAATCTTTTTTTTATATTGTGCGACATCGTTGCGACCAGAAAAAGCAAGAAATGCCAATGTTTAAAATTCAAACTTGCGGGTTCAATCAAATCATGGGGTTTCAAAAATCGTATTTTTGCATTTTAAACACTCAGATTTACGTATTTAACGTTAGGTAGTAAATAAAAAACAAAAAAATTTATTTTGAATCACAACACAACTTTGTGTTTTTTTTACGAGTAATATTACATACTCCCAATAAGATGGCGTAAATTTTTGATCACACCCTGTATGCAAATCCGAAGAAAATTTCGAACACTGATTAAAAATTGATGATCTATCGTCTCTAACCCTAACCATAATCTCTAAGGATCAACAATTATCATTTTCGCTAAACCTTTATAAATTCATTAAACGTTCATCATAGCAAACATGAATATTGTGACCTGGACATTTATCGCATGACTTAACGTTAATCTTTTGACAATAGAAGGATTTGCTACAATTATGAGTATTCAAAATTTTAGATTCCATCACTTTATGGGCTGTGTTTATATAACGGTATAAATGAAGATTTACGTAAAACATCTATTTACATGTATGTGTATCAAAAGAAGAATCATAGAACTTTCATTTGTGCATACAAATAAATTTCTGTGTCGAGCGCCGCCGATTAATTTTATTGCTATGCATGAAAAGCGTCACGAATTATTAATACGTACGTAGTTTTCTCTTTTTTATTTTTTCACAATATGTGTGTGCTCTCTTGTGATGACTAAAGTGGGTAAATGGACTTATCGTCAACTCATCCTGTAACAAACAAACACTCCGGAACAACTATGTAGTTCGTTATAAACAAAGTTGACTATTAAATTATAGAGTCGAAAAATTTCGATTTAGCATGATTACGTATTAGATTTGAACTACATGTATTATATGCAATCTATTATATACATCAGATATTTCTTTGACGACGACACTCTTAAATATATATAATCATGCAAAAATAGAAAAAATTTAGATACCGATACGTATTCTTTTTTTATTTTAACCTAAATAATGAACCCTAATTTTAATACATAGTCGTCTATTAGTGGCAAAATATGGTATTTCATATCACTGACCAATTTTATGACAAGTTCATTGGGGAAGACGATTCCATTCCTTTACCCACCAAAGTTTGAAACCCTTTGTGATCTATTGCCAACTGTAGTGGTGATTGCCATTGACTTATACATGGCAATCAATTACCAAACGATGAAACATTTTGATTGTTTCAAAAAATAAAGAATCGAATTTTAGTATTTGTGTACGTATTAGATCACTGGACATTGAGATACTGTGTCCGATTTATTTTTTTTAGCGATTAATTTCTAATGGAAACTACCATTTGATTCTTCTTGACTAGATGGATTGAATGGTTGTATTTTTGAATGAAACAATCACTAAACATCAAGATATTGCATTATAAGGTAAAATTTCATATCGATATTGTTTGTGAAGAGAAAAGTTGCAAAGCTATATAAGGCATCGAGAATCAGTTTTTATGTTACACTTCACATAATAAAAATTTCGGCCAATTATATTTAATTTATGGTAAATAAGGAGGGTACACTTATGTATGTATATCGATATTATTCATCAATATTAACTGGATAGAAAAATTAGAAGCGCAAAGCTATGTCTATATGTGCATAATTAAAGTAATGGAACGCACGCGTCATCATAAGAAAAAGCAAGTGCGAAATTGAAAAAGACTTGTGGATATGGTGGACATAGCCAATTTAGTACCCAATTGATTGAATAATGATTTCCAAAATTGATTGGTGAATTTAACGTCTCTATCTGAAATAATAGTTTTTGGCAATCCATGTAATCTAAATATCTCATTGAAGAATATTTTTGCAATGTCTGGTGCTGTGGCTGTAGTGTATGTTGGAACAAAGTGCACTCTTTTTGTAAATTTGTCAACAAAAATAACAATATAATCATAATCTTGTTTGGTTTTTGGTAATTGTATTATGAAGTCCATTGTAACTTATTCCCATTTATTTTGAGGTATTGAGAGAGGCTGTAATAATCCACTTGGTTGTTGATTACTACTTTTATTGCATTGATATAATTCATAATTGGTGACATATTTATGAATGCTTTTGTTCATCTTTGATCAATAAATTGTTGACTGATATTAGCATATGTCTTGTTAATTCCAACATGTCCAGCAATTGGTGTATCATGATATTCAAATAAGATTTTTGTCTTCAAATTTTTATCATTTGGAATAGCAAGCCTAAATGTGTTCTTCAAGTAAATTTTATCATCTTTCAATTCAAAATGGCAAGTTTTTGCTTGCTTTTTTGGTGTTGTTTCTTCTACATGCTGCAATATTTTCAAAATTCTTTGAAATATGTATCTTTATTGTATTTCTTAATTAGTTCATCTTTGCTAATTAATTCAGTATTGATAGTACTAATATTAATAAAATGTGTTTGACAAGATAAAGCATCTGCTACTATATTATCTTTTCCAGGTTTGTATTTTACATCAAAGTCATTGACTTGTAAAGTTTCTAATCAGTGTGCTTGTCTTTTGGATAAGTTGCCTTGAGTTTTGATATATTCAAGTAAAGCATGATCAGTTACTATAGTGAACTTTTGATCTTCCAAATATGAACTTCAAAGTCTAATTGCATATATAATGACTAGTAATTTTTTCTTATAAAATGAATAATTTTGTTCAGCAGAAGTAAGTTTTCTTGACTCATAGGTGATTGGTTGTTTATCTTTATCTTGATTTTGATTTAATATTGCTCTAATAACATATTCTGAAGCATCAGTAGTCATTGTGAAAGATAATTTTGGATCTGGTAATATCAAAATTGGTGCTGTGGTTAAATGTTATTTCAAAATTTCAAAAGCTTGTTGTTCTACTTCTTGCCAATTATATTCTTGATCTTTATATAAAAGCTTTGTTAATAATGATGCTATTGCTGAAAAGTTTTGTACAAATTTGTGATAATAGCTTGTTATGATCTTAACTCAGATATATTTGTTGGTTTTGACCAGTCTTTTATTATAATAATTTTGCATTAATCAACTGAGATTCCATCTGCTGAAATAAAATGACCAAGATATTTAACATATTGTTTGATGAGTTCATATTTCTTCAATTTGACATACAATTTGTTTTCTTGTAATACTTTTAATATTATCTTCAAATATTGTAAATGCTTTTCTTTAGTCTTGCTATAGATTAAAATATCATTCAAATAAATGATAATGAATTTATTCAAGTATTATTGAAAGATGTTGTTTATGAGTATCATAAAAGTTGCTGGAGCATTTGTTAATCCAAAAAGTAGAAATGCAGTTTTGTGAATGTCTTCATTTGCAATACAATATTTAAAATCTTCATCTTGTTAAATTATAATATTTCTGGTAATAAATTCATGATTTCTAATAGTATTTATAAAAGCTTTATGAAGTATTTATTAATATATTTTGGTATTTAATCTTATAAAAATTACTAATACTTTAGGATATAAAATAATTCTATATCATTATTGATTTATCCAAACTTTACCATAGATTTAATATAAAATTAATTTAATAGTTTTTTTTAGATATTTTCAATAATATTATTTTCTATTTGAATTGAAAATCTTAAAATTTGAACTTATTAGACCATATAATTTTTGACCAGTTATCAATAATTCAATTTTGTGAGTTTGTGCAAATATTTATTGCTTTATTTAATATTTTTTGCTTAAATAAGATTTTTTTTTGATTTTTGATATTAAATTGTTGTTATATAATATATAATAAATGGTAGATATTAAAATATTAATATTTTCTTTTTCTTGTATACATTTTGAACTTCTACTATAGATAAACATTTATAGGAGATGATAAGATTGATAATTTTTTATTTATAATAGAAAATTAACCAAGTTTTACTGTATTTTTAAGAGAGTATTGTTCACACCATTTTTTATTAATACAAGAAACTATTGATGGATCAATATTTCTTGACTTTGCTATTGTCTTGTAATATATCTATTTTGAAAAGAAAGAAGAATTTGTGCCCATTTTTCTGGTGTCATGTGGTGTCATTGCACTATAGTTTTTTGATCAAAAAGTTGTAACATGGTACAATATGTAAACAATACTTCTTAAAATTACTTTTTATGTGTTACAATTATAACCATCTGATCTTTGCATAAAACAATCATAAATAATGCAACACATGTTTTGTACTAATTATGAATTTATTTTTGAATTGGAAATAATAATGAATATTAATTTTTACTATCTAAAAATGATACTATTAATGAATAAAACCCATAAAAAAAAGGATATCTTTGAACTTGCATGAAATATTTTGATTTAACGAAAATTTTTTTTGTTGCATTAATTATGATCGTCACTGTATATATGGAAACTGTGGATGGACTAATATTACGCACTCTGGCTATCTCTCTTGTGGTGTATCCATTATTGAGTTGAGCGAAATAATAATTTCAGCTCTTTCGTTTGGGGGTAGTATAGGATTTTTGCGACTTTGTTTGCTTATTAAATAATTGCAACATTATACGAGAGCAAAAAATTTTGGATTATCTCATGATTTTATGCGGCAGCAATCAAAAAAAATGCAACACCAAGTCATGTGATTATCTTGAAATTGAAATTAGTATTGAATAAATCGATTTTAAAAATAGTAATGTTATTTCTTACCGTTACTATTATAACTTTATTTTGAATTTTATTATGAAATTTTTTAAAATATGCGATTTTAAAAAATTTTAATTTTTTGTTGCATTACTTTGATCGCCACTGTATATTTATCGTTATCCTTTAGTAGATAAGTCTCCGAAATTCTACATACAGATACGTACGTATCGGTATGTACATGTACGTACTGTATTGGAATAACACATGCCCCTTTAAAAAGTACGTACATGTATTCTTTTGCATTTATCGTTATTCATTTATGCAACATGCTTTGTTTTTTTTAAGAAAGAACATTCCATGAATCAAAGATCGACTAACAGCATGTACGTACATGTATAAGCCAGCATACATTATTACGTATATAAGTCGTAGTTTACTTACCTACAAACTTTTTTACATAGTTCAAATCTTAATAGAATCATGTATAATTCAAAAATTTTCTTTATTGCTTCATTAATTTTATCTATTTTCGCGACAACGTACGCATTTCCGCTTCCACCAAAAGACTACAATAGTAATACTATTGATAACGATATTGCCTTACTTCGCGTGGATGGACTATTGTTAGGTCAACCTGACGCAGCGACGGGTGTCAAACTTACAACATGAATCATTATAAAATGTTGAGATGCAACTAGCTACCGAAGACAATTATCAATTATTATCATACATAAATATTTTATCATTGAAATTAAATATTCTTTTTTATTGATTCACCTAATGTGTAATATCAATGTTGAGTAAATGAATGTTTTAGTCCTCCAAAAATTTTTTTATTATCATCGAAACATTGTTATCCATATAAAATGGTTCAATATACTCACTGCCAACTGCACTATGATATATATAAAAACATCTTAAAGGAACGACAGAGCCAGTTGCTGGTTGCGAAACACAATTTTTTTTAGTTAGAATGTACTTCAGTATACTTTTTTATATGTAAAATCAATTACCACTTGAGTTCGTTGACTTGTCTTTAAATCAAAATATGTGAGTTTGATTCATTTTTGCAAGGGTCGAAGTGTGAAAAGCTCTAGTTTTTAGCTGGCTGGTAAAGCATGTGTAGACCAAATATCAGTGCTCATATTTCCTAAAAACAATTCATTATTCACTAGAGGCACAGCCTGAATAATTGTTGCTTTTTCCAGTATAAAAAGTTATTGTAGAATCTCAAATTCGTGATATCTGTATGTGCTTGTTGCCAGCTTGTATTAATGAAACGAGGAGGTGACCACTTTTGCAATTTACATGTAGTATTGAATTTATGTCACCACCACCACTGTAGATTATTATCATTTATTTACTGTGTGTAATCCAAAACTTAAAACATTTACCTAAAGGTAACGTTCCCATGGTGGTGAAAAGATTGATCTCAAAGTCCACTTATTGTTGCTCTGCATTGTGACTATTGTCATTCACCAAATACATATCGATATAATCTAAATTATAGGAAATAACATTTATTCAATTCACTGCTTACTGCCTCGAATTAAAATCTATTTTAACCAAGAAAATTACCAGTATTAAAGAAGTACATAACGTCATTAAGAACTTTAATATTTATGATTTTGAATTAGAATTCAATATTTACAATAGAATCGGTGTAAATTGTATTAGAATTTACTATGTTTACACCGATTCAATTGCACTGACTCATGCGTATAATTGAATTTCTAAACACTTACATTTTTTGTCAATAAACTCTAAATATAATTTTATTCAATGATAAACTGCATAAAGAAAATATTATATGAATAAAATTATAAAATGGGAACATTTTATAAGCTAATGTAATTATTCAATGATCCATTCATATAAGAAAATTTATTCCCTTATCTTTATATTCTCGCCGATTGTATAAACAATCGTTATCATTTTTATGTTATATAAGAGGTGATTTTTACTAATACAATCATCTATACTCTAAACACACATAAAAGAAGTAGATTATTAGAAGGCATATGAATAAAATATAAATTTTAATACGCGTAAATACAAAGAAGTTATCACTACTTCAGGATCACGATCTCTATGTTTTACACGAATAAAAGTATAAAGTGACAAATTACAGCGTACATTTTTTGATATTCAATTGTTTCGTCATTTTCTTGCAAGACACTCGATATCTCTTCATTCTCTTTGATGTCGTATGGTATACTGAAATCAGAATCTGCTTTGTACCTTCAAAAACAACAGATATTGAAATAGAGGGATTAATGAAAAATAATATTAAATGGGAATTTACCTTCATCAGATCATTTGGAACATACAAACTGATACCTGTAAAGCCTAAGCATTCGACATAATTGTTGTATCATTTGGAATTGAAATTAATTTTAAAGATTCGACTGATGTTGGGTGGATTGGTTGTCTTTTGTTCATATTCGCAAGAGCATTTCATCTCCTCATCAAGTTTTTCTAATCTATGTCTTTCTAGTATAAGACTTTTTTAAGTTCCTCATGTGTATTGGAATATTCTAAAGCATCGTAGTACTTAAAATGCAAAGTATTCAGTTTGCTGTTATTACATAAAAAGAGTCGACAAAATCAAAAAGTTCCTCAGCAGTTGATCTGTTTTCTGGAATAGGATTTCAACATTTTCAATAATAAATTTGCGCCGTCCGGGAACATTATTTGGTATCTTAGGTCGTACTCCATTATACTGTCATATGCAAGATATATGTTATGACTCCACTCACTGAATGGCTGTTTACCTGTTACGATTTCGTATATAATCATTCCAAACCTATAAATATCTGCTTGAGTGTATGGGTCCATTTAACACCTCTGAACTAATATAATATATAAGGAAGTACTCCGTAAATTTTTCGATTAGATTTACGTATTTAAATTAGCCCGGTAAATCCCAAATCGATCATTTGAGCTATAACAGATATATATTCAGTGATATATTCCCAGGATGAAAGTCACGATGTACAAACCCTCCTTGTTAATTACTTTCAACTCTAGGATAATCCGCTTTAAATATCCTAATTTTTGCGCCCAACTCAATTTTCATAATACATGTATCTCACGATTCACTGATTCACTGATCCAATCCAGACAAAAATTCACAATTCGATTTGTCAAGACTAGACGAATCGAATGGTGATATTCTTGGATCCATGGATCATGAGATATCATGTTCCAGAGTTACTGGATAATTTTTTTATTTTTCCCATTTTTTTAAAAATGGATTAATACCTCATGACTCATTGAACCAAATTGGATAAAAATAAATTTGCATATTTACTGAGATTTAGTGGAATAGTGGCTAAACGTTGATAAAATTTGGTCTGGTGGGTCATGAGATATCATGCTTCAAATTGAGTGATCCAAATTAAAATGAGTTTTTTTTCAAAAAATCAGCAACCTTGAACATGATATCTTATGAATTACCAGACAATTTTTGTAAAAATTACTACATAACATTGAATTCACCAAAACTGGGCAAATTTAATGACGGTGTGTTTGAAAATAATATATTCATTTTAATTGATCCAGTAATTTTGGGACACAATATGTATCTCATAACCCGCAGGTTCAATCTAGATGAAAATACCATTATTCGATTCGTCAATACTAGGTAAATTGAATGCAATCCAAAATTTCCCCTTTTTTCCATTTTTAATCAGATTTCAATACAGAAATTTATAACTAAACCTGTGATTTTCTGGAACTAAAAAAACCAGATTTTTGTTTGATTATTTTTTTACAAGGAATGTTTCTCTTAAAATTGGAAATAGATATTGTGGTAATCATACACAGCTCTACAATATATTACCAGAAATTTCAAGAATGAATTTGGATCCTGATATCTCGACATCCAGTGATCCCATTGCACAAGATATTACTATTAGATTCGTCTCAACTACATAGATGAATCTCATGGTGATATCCTTGTTCAAATGGGATTACCAGATGTCAAGATGTCAGAATTCAAAGTGACAAATTCTTTTTTGAAATTCCTGGTAATATATTGTAAACAGAAGAGTATGGTATCAAGCATTATTATCATCATTATCTTCATCATCTGCAATGTTATGGTTATTATGTTTATTGGTTAATGAGATCAATAAATCCAATTTGTGTTATTAGACAAGTTTACGTTACTGAATCTATTGTTGTAACGAAAAAAATGTCGAATGTTATTTGAAGTTTCTAGAAGGTGGAAAAAGGTATTGCAAAATTAAGTGAGACCAAATTCAGAGCTTAATAAATGTTTCCTAGTTTACAGTTTGATTTATCGCATTAAATTATTTCAGAGTATTCAATGAACAAGAAACCATCTAATAGTGAAGGGGGTCAACACATAATTGATAGGCGAAGAACATTTCAAGTTGTTCATTATTCAGAGATGGGCAAGGACACGCTATACCGTAAATTTCCGATTATAAGCAATTCCCATTTAAAAAAATTCTCAACAACCTGTTATTCAAATTCAACGACCCATAGCTCGCTGAATTGACATTTTGGTGGTGGTTTCATTTGAATTGGAGCGGTGCTTATTGAATAGGCACACCTTTCGAAATCACGCCAAAAATGGTTGCTTATTCATATACGGTAGAAAACATGAATTTATTGATACTTAAAAAAGGTATATCATATATTGCTCATACGTAATACTAATTCGTTGATATATTGGTTTATAATTCAAAATTCTACTATGACGATAATGGACTTTCGCTTTATCTAAATCTAAGAATCATTTTTCTCTAATGGTAAGTTGCTCGCTTCATCCGACAAAATACTTAGACTAAGTGTCTTGCATTTAGGCCGATATGAAATGTACCAGCAAATTGCACCAAGTCCTATTACAACCAGACTGACAACATAAGGAAGGTAATATTTATATTTTACGTATTTGTAGGAACTTTCACATCGGTCATTGTTGGGTTGCTGCTGTGAATAAGGTGAATTTGGTGAATCGTTTACGAAAGACCCAATTATGATGAATAGTGTGAATATGAGAAATATTATGGGTATTGAGAGGAACACTTTGAATGGACGCGTTAAAGTGGGTTGAGAATAGCGCAGAAACTAAAAATATTATAATTAGAATTTTTAAACTCATCGAAGGTCTCAACAAAATACCGATTAATATTAAAAAACTCACCAATAACCCCAAAACAGTCAGAAATAGAAATATCCACATGCAATACTGACCCAAATTAACAAAAAATTTAAATGGATCATTATGTGGATAAAAAATAATGATCAATGAAGACAAAACGGCTTGTGTTACCTGAAAATAATTAATTGTTGATTAATCAGAGAAAATGAATGATTGCGTTGAGAACAAAAAACATATTCTTATACCAATGCAAACATTGGAGTATCTGTATTTTCATTCCATTTTCGGAACCATGATGAGAACGGAATATAATCTCTTTTTGCAGCGGCTACAATTACTCGTGATCCAGACCATACGTTCGCAGCCAATGCTCCAAAAGCTGATAGACAAACGAAAAAAGATAACGTGCGAGCTAAATTAAAGCCACCGACTTGGAACGCGAATTTGCCAGCAATGATTTCTGAAGGTTCATTAGCGCGGGTGATATTTGTTAATGGTACATTCGTGTACGCAATATTAGCACAAAGGTCTAGTATCGGTATACGTATACAAATCCATCAAATTTGAAAATATTAAGAACTATTTTCATTTGCATAGCTACACGAAAAAGTACCTACATAAAAAAGTAACAAGACAAACACTGATACTATTTGACGCGAATAGTTTTTCTCGTGGATTGACAAACTCATCCAAAGTATCTATAAATAAAGATTTAGAATCCGAGTTTACTGAAATGCATATAAAAAATAATTCACTTACAATTTAAATTATTCCAGCCACCATATGCAAATAAGATAGGAATAAGCGCAGCAGTCAAAGAACGTGCACTAATATTCATATCACTAGGAAACATATTTTTCCAATTCGTATTTTCACCGTTAATAAACCGAGGAATTGTTGCCAGTCCAATAATCGATATCGCAAGCAGTGTTAACATCTTTATAATTATGAGTGTTTGATTTATACGATTTGCCCATTTGTTGGATAGAATGTGGTAAATGGTGATTATAATTATTGTAGCTAACGAGCAAAGTCGTAATTGCCTAATAACAGAATTTTTAGATTTAGATGTGAATCCATATACCGGTATGATTATCGTTATTATTGACAACCCTCACCAAAATCTCCAATCAGTAATATATTCATTTGGATGCAAATAATCAATATCACAACGTCCTTTCGCCTTAATTAAATATAAGAAATATTGTGCAAAAACATTTGCTACAGCGGACATATGAGCTGGTTGTATTGCCACAATCATGGTAAAACTAAACATATAGCTGAATAATGCTTTTGGACGAGGATATGCTTGTTCCAAATACACCGTTTCTCCGCCTCCATCTGGTGTGGAGCTTCCTAACTATTATATATTAAAAATTAAAAGGTTAAATTAGATGAGATGGAAATAAATTATATCAAGCATAAATAAAAAATAAATACCTCGACATAAGAAAGTGATCCAAACAAGGCGGCAATTCCACCTACTGCCCATAAAATTAATGCTAATCCAGGAGACCGAATTTCACTTAAAACTAAACCAGGACTTGAGAATATCCCAGCACCAATCATGCTATTGCAATTATTTCCAATACCAGCGAAAGTTCCTAAAAGTCTTATCCTTTCCGACGACATGTTACTGGAAATGTCGTCGCTTGGCACAAAATTATTTTCATCGTTACCAAGATTCATTGTTGTTTGATTTATGTTTATCGTAATATTTTTTAACAACTCAAAATAAAATTCATACACTGTCTATACATGTACATACGTATTGTATACCGATACTGTTCTGTACACGTATATGTGCATATTCAGTACGTATATACATGTATCGGTACATCGATATCGAAAGGAGTTCTAATTGACTGGAAAACAAGTGGTGTAACACTAATTTGAATAAATACATGTAATAAAAACTCAAAAACAGTGACAGCTTGTTTTTGTGCGAATGAATATGTTAGATTCCAATTTAATTTCTAAAAAGAAATTGCTTAAAAAATTCCAAGTTTTAATTTTTGATTTGATTCGGGTTGATGAACCAGATTCGAACTGTTCGATAACGATAAATTGCTAATTCGAACGAAACATAATGACAATAGTTCTATTAAATAATAATTAGGCAATGAGAAGAACCGAATTTAATTAAAGTTCTTCCAATTGACATCCTCTTGATACGTCACTGTGCCTCGAAATTTGTCGTCATGTGTTACGACTTAACGTGGAAATGTTGTGCCAACCACTATAAACTAAGTTTATTAATATTTCATAAATATAATCTGCATTGCTAAACTAAAGAACAAATAAAAACTTACAGATGCACACTGTGAGAATGTCATATCAATAATTGCCCATTTTTCTTCTTGTCTCGTACTTACTTCTGGATCAGTCCCTTCGTGTGAAGTTGCTGCTCTTTCTTTGCAGGAAGTACGTTACGGTATACGCATACAAGTGACTCTCGTTAAAGGCATTAGTAAAAATCTTCAAAAATTTACTATATCGAGAGTTTATTAGTAAATTTACTATAACGAGAGGATTTATTATAGACTGGTTTTGGATGAACTTTACTATATCAAGAGTTTAATTAGTCTTTACTATAACGAGATTCACTTGTATCTCCAATTTCGGGTTGTATTTACTTTCTTACGAATTGATAAAGTGCAGGATGCATTATTTCGATCGAATAGAATACGCAGTATCATCCAGTATTCATACGTATATTCCGTTCACTAAAGTGGAATCATGCACATTATCATTTAAACCCTTGGTCTCCAGTCAAAGAATCTTGAAATCAATGTTGGGGAACGACAAATTATTAATTCTGAAGATTTTAACGAGCTTTGCAATTATAATTAGAATTTAGGCCAAATACCAAACTGTTATTTATTAAAGGATTTTCCTTTAAAATTAATAAGTTTTCATCGTATTTTGGAGTCACAATAAACTCAACATTTGAATTACAACTGTTCGATACTTGATTTTCCAGTGATTAAAGTTAGGAATCATTCAAATCACCCAAACTCGGATTAGGGTGTGATTATCTTAGTGCTGATCATGGAAACTATAAAGATTCCGAGTGACAAATGGATAATCTCAATAAATGAATTGCAAAATGATATGGTGCGGCGCACCATAGGTCACGAGATTCTTTCACGCTACCAATTTTAATAATTCGAGGAACATTATTAATCACTCGATTTCTGTTTAGAAAACACGTTGCGGCGAGTAGTATTCTAAAATCAGATTGACGAGTTCGTCAATATGATTAGAGTATTGATGGTTTACACCATTAATTAGTTTCAGTGCGTGATTGGATATCGAGTTGGCGAACAAGGCTGTATCAGAAATTTGTTAAGCTTCAAGATATTCTGGGATCATCATTTGTACCATAGTTAGATAGTTAAGACTGACCGAAAAATCATCCTTTGTCACTTTCCATTTATAATTTGTCCTAGTGACTTTTCCTTTCCGTGATAATATCGCGCGCAGATATGTTGTTGTGTTCAACAAGGCTTTAACTTCATAACCCTTGAAATGTTTTGTAACGGAAAATTACCTTTAGGAATATACATATCCTTTTTGCAAGTAATCAAGTACAGCCTCAACATTATCTAAACATTCTGTAAGTTATTAATATTTACGTAATCTCAATATTTATTAAAAAATAAAATTCGTACCTTAAGACTTGTATATTTCATTCACCATCACAACGAAAAGTATCAAATGGTAATGCCAGTGTCAACTTTCTTCGAGACTATAACATACAAACTTTTTTATATCTTATTAAACAAGCTTTTTGCCATTGGTTCTTTTTATATGTATACGTAGTTTGCTCTTGATTATTCTTAATGTAGCACACAGGCGCCCACATGGGCGTGGGGATAGACTTCTTTTCGGCGGCCGTCCTAAACTGTTTCATCGCCAAAGTTTGAAAAAGAATATGATAAATTAATTTTATTTTATTATAATACCGTATATTTGTTATAAAAATATTGATTTCTATTATTTGTTCTTAAAGTCTTCGGAAGTTGACATAGCGGCTTCACTCGAACATCGTTTACTTGGCAATGAAGCCATACAAAATCAAGACTATAATCAAGCTCGAGATGAATATACCAAAGGAATTTTGTTAAATCCCAAAGATTTCTTGTTGTTACTGATCACTCTGCTCTGGCTTACCTCAAAAACATGGCAAACTCCACTGATAAACTTGGAAGATGGCTTATGACTCTTAATGGATATGACTATGATATTATTAACAGATCTGGAAAATAATATTTTAATGTAAACATTCTAAGTAGAATTAAAATATAATATTATTTAATTAATAATCATATTTGAAAATATACATTGAATAACTACTTACTGGACATTGACTTTTGATTACAATGGAATTTGAATTATATACACATTATCAATTACTTAATAGACTTAACATTACCAAAGGATCTAAACAAAGAACAAAGAGTATCAGTAAAAAGAAAAGCATGCTATTTTATAGTTAAAAATAAATAGCTTTATAAAAAGAACAAGAATTCACCAAACAACTCACTCAAAATATTAAAGAAAGAAGAAGTAAATGATATACTATATTATTTTTATGAAAACCTACTGGTAGAATACTTCAATATAGAAAAAATATTTAAAAAAGTTAAAGCAAAATTTTATTGATCTCAAATATATAATGATATTAGAATATATATAAAAAGTTGTGATCAATATCAAAGAAGAGGAAAGAATAAAAGAATTGAATCTTTACATACCATACCAGTAAAATAACTCTGATAGAATTGAAATGGATTTTATTGAATTATTATCTGAAATAGCAAGAGATAATAAATATATTATAGTCACTATAAATTAGCTTACAAAATAATCAGAAGCAAAAGCCTTACCAGATGTAAAAGCTTTATCAGCAACTAATTTCTTTTATAAAGATATTGTATGTTAATATAAATATTCAAAAGTATTACTGACTAATAGAGAAACTCACTTTGTAAATAAATTACTGGATTTCTTATATCAATAACTTGGAACCAAACACAATTTATTAATAATATATCACTTACAAATAAATAAACTAGTAAAATACTTTAATAAAATATTATATAAAGAATTAATCAAATATGCAAATAAAAAAAGATAATTAAAATCTATATATATTATTATTTCTATTTGCTTATAGAAATATATAATATAATTAAAGATAACAATATAGTAATAAATAAAGTAATATCTAATTACAACTAGTTACAGCTTATAAAATTTTATAGTTGCAAATATTACAACAAGTAACAAATAAGTATCACATACTTATTGCACTATCTCTAAATACAATATCACAAAATTTAAACTATTTTACTTAACTTATAGAAGAAAAGCAATATTATCAATTAATTATGATAATACAATAATAAAGAAGATAAAGTTAATATTCTATTAGAAAAAATATACAAATTGATTATACAATTAAAAAAATAAACTTAAAGTGAAAAAAATCTTAGCAATAATAAGAACAATGATATAATGCAAAAATAAAAGAAACTTATATATTCAAAATTGAAAAACAAGTCTTATTTTATAAAAATTATTTAAGAGACAAAAGAAAACTGGAAGTTAAATGAAAAAGATCATATTATATTCATAATATACTTAAAAATAACATATATAAACTAAGAATATTAGAATAATAATCACTATTATCTTACTAGTACTTTAATAAAGCCAAAATATACAAAAGTATTAAAAGAAAATATCTTTAGTAATAATTATATCAATCATTATTTTTCTCTTCTTTTTCTTCATTCTTCTCTTTATTCTTCTCTTTATCTTTCTTTTTATTCTTATTCTATTACTTTAATGAATCCTATAATATTAATCTATAATAATAATAATAATAATAATTCTATCTTTTCTTCATCATTATCATTTCATTGTTACAATCTGAATCTATTCAGATTATACAAAAATTAATATTAAAGATTTAAAAACTAGAAATTATATCATAAATTATTTTAATTTCTTAAATTAATAATAATTATTAATTAGTCTAGATTTAATATTAATTAATTTAATATAGATTGATATATAAATAAACAATACTCCTTTTGTAGCATCTAGATTTTTCTTTGTTATTATAATAGTTTACTTATTAATTGTAAGCTAAATAATTATCAATCTTATTTCATATTTTATTTATTATTAATATTGATTACAAATACTTTAGATTATTAATAATTGCTAGAATATTCTATTAATAATATAATTTCTTATATATATATACTGTTATACTCTTGGTAATAGCACAATTAATTATAATAAAGAAGTATTTAATTAAAATATAAACTGTTTTCTTATTGGTTATATAAAAAATTCTTATATAATATTATCATTATTATTATCATTTTTTTTATTGTTACTATTATTATTTTTTTCATTATTATCATTATCATTTTCTTTATTATTATTATTATCTTCTTTATTGTCATTATCATCATCTTCTTCATTATCATTATTATTATTTTCTTTATTATCATCATTACAAATAAGAAAAAGAAAGTTTAAAATTAATGAACTTTATTTAGATTTTCTTTCACTTGCACAAAAATGATTGAATCATATATATAAAAAATTGTGATTGCAATTTCTTATATTAACTATATCACAAGTCAAAAAGAGTCTAATTAGAGAATTAACAATAATTCCAACAATTGAACTCTCTGATATTGTATTAGAAATTCATGCAAATTCTGTAAATAATAATAGAAAAAGAAAATTATTCTCATCTCTATTATCATTATCAAAAAGAAGAATCTCATTACTATTAATAATATTATTAATATTTTCTTTATCATTATTATCATCTTCACCATTATTATCTCTATTATTAGTATTATCACTATTATTATCACTATTTTCATCATTATCGTTACTATCTTTATTATTATTACTATTTTTATTATTACTATCTCTATCATTATTACTTTTATTATCACTATCTTTTTTTTTTCTTTTTTTTGTTATTTTCTCTATTATTATCTATATTATTACTAGCTTATATAACAGATATTATAAATTTCATTATATAATTCACAATCTTTTCAATTAATGATGAAGAAAAAGAGAATAAACTAAAATAATAATATTCTTTTTTTATTGAATTCTTGTTAAAGATACTATTATTATTAGCAAAGCTTTTTAATGCTTTGAAATTTTGTTGATCTTTTTGTCTTTCTTGATTTGAATATATTATTAACTTATTATATAGATTATATTAAAATTCAACATAACTATATAATAATTATATAAATTTTTAATATTCCTTCTGAGAAACAAAAAATAAAATTGTAAATATATTTTTATTAATAAAGTTATAGTAATATTTCATCAAACTTATCTTAATTAAGATAAATAAATAAAATTAGATAAAATATTGAGATATCAAATTAATAATATATATATAATAAGTAAGTATTTATTAAATATTTTATTTTTATATAATTATTAATTATTTTTCTATTTTTGCATTTTTTTGAAAAGAATTCTAATTATATAAATTAGAATTTTTTTAAATTAGATATATTATATTGATTGAAGAGCTTGGAATTAATTAAAAAGATTGAAAAATTCAGATTGGTTAAAGAATTTGAAGAATTCAGATTGGATAAAGAGTTAAAGTTAGAGTTAAAGGTTATTTATTTATCTAATACTAAGATAATTTGAGTTTTGCTAAAGTTTTACTACTGTTACAGTAGTAACATAAAAGTCGTTAATTCCAAAAAAATAGTTGAAAAACATAAAAATATTCGTATAATAGCAAAAACCTCTCAAATCATTTTACTTTTTTACCTATTATTTTACCTTTTATTTTACTTTTTACTTATTATTTTACCTTTTATTTCACTTTTTACCTATTATT